TTTCAGCGTGAAGGTTATATGGCTCGACTTGTTTTTATTAATTTTTATTCTCCAATTATTGGACCAAAGTTTAATTGCATCTAGATATTCTTGGAGTATTTTGCTGGCTTCAACAGGATTAGAGTCAGTAGCCGCTATAACAGTGTCGTCAGTAAAAGTCGCTGTGAATGTATCGTTGCATGTTGGAATATCATGAGTATAAATGATATATAAAATAGGCCCCAGATTACGGCCCTGAGGAACCCCGGCTTCAATTTGGCGAAATGTGGATACCACTACTGAAAATTACACACAATTCTTAAGACAATTACCTATTAAAATGTATGCGACTTGCCTCGCAAATTGGATGGACAATTGCTTCTGAATTTTATATTATCAATTATCGCGCTGGTATTAATACGCTCGAAATAATTCATAAACAAATGCACAAAATCATTTCCAATCAAGCAAGATTTTCGATTGCCGTAAACTGATCAATATTTGTATAATGAACGATAAAAGCTTTTTACATCCGTTTTGTAATGTGAATTGTTGATATATTGATATTAGTATTCACCCTGTTTTTAAAAACTGTGACAAAAATAATAAAACATTGTTGTGATTTTTGCAATTTGGTTTTATTCTGTCCCAGTATTATAAATTTATCTAGTCTTGTTAGATATAAATAAAATAGTAATAGTTTATTGAATCTTCTCATTATCATTAAGTTGTTGGTATTGCAATTAATATTCTGTTTTACCATAACTAGAAAAGTCTGGAACTCTACGTTAATCAGCATACAAAACAATGAATAGCATCAATGGCATGAGTGAAAGTGTAGATCATAAAAGTGAAAAAATATTCAATAATCATAACTGAAAGTGACAGAAAACTTCTTTGTGAGAAAAATCGAGATTCTAGATGAAACTTACAATTAGCCAATGAATTAACAAACTATTAACACGAAATACAGATTATCGATTTAGCTGATCATAAAGAAAGTCAAGATTTTGAAATCCCTAAACGTGTTGAACAACTATATCAGAAATATGTATTTTTATATTTTCTGTAAATCAGAAATTTTATTGCAATTCCATAATAAATAAAATGTCAGTAGTATATATTATATTTAACTTCCTGCAGGGTAAGTTATAATAATCGCAAAAAATCGAAAATGAGAGTTTTTGCACATTTTTATGTTTCAAGGATTTCTGAATATTTTGGCATACCTTAGAAAAAATTAATGCATTCGTGGGTGTGTGTATGTGTGTGAGCCGGGAACACGGATCGACCGATTTGAATAATTAAAATTCCATTTGAATTTCGAAAATACAAATGACCGCCGTGCTAAAAATTGAAATTCAGTTTTTGAGAGAACGGTGCGTCCAATTTAAATGATTCAAAATGAAAAAACAATTCATTTGTATTGACGAAATTGAGCTGATTAAATTTTTGAAAAGGCATGTACAGCAGTTTCGGAAATCCAATAAAAAATGTTTAAAAAAGTGCCATTTGACAGTCAAAAATTGGCATCAGACATGAGCACATCAAATTATCAGATATTTTATAGACATTTCAATAATAAGTACAAATTTTGTTTACATTTTTATAATGTTTATCCATTAGACACGACGCTTACGCGCTTCAATAGTTCATCTCTAAAACAGCTACGCAACACGATTGCTTTGAAAAAAAGTTCAAATTTTTCAAAAAACTCAGAATATAAAAAAATCTAATTTTTCAAAAATTTCTAAAAACACAAATCTAATTTTTTCAAAGTTTTCAATAAGCTTTTTTAAGAATTTTAATTTTCGGTACGGGAAGTCCCAGCAATATGTCTTAAGTAAGGTGACCATACGTCCCGGATTGGCCGAGACAATCCCAGCTTTTTCTAAAAGCACTATTTGTTCTGGTTTTAGGTGTTTTGACCCGGATTGTCCCGGATTTTTAAAAATTTTTTGATTGCCAATATTTTTTTTAAATATATTTCAACTAGAAAATTTGAACCGAAGGAGGGATGAGCTAAAAACTTATATGCACATGTTTTTAGCTCATCCCTCCTACTCCGCGCTCACACACACATACTAATCGTCCCTTAGTATTAAGGGACGATGCCATGCACGACTAGTTTCTTTTATTTTTGGAAAGAAAAGATATCAAGTTTAGAATTTTCGAAGGTTGTTTGTATTTGATTACACGTGAGTGTAAATTATATGGCTGACTGTTTTGTCCATTTTTAATTTGGTTTGTTTTAAATCAATTTTTTGTCGGTTATTTAAGATAAATTTTTTTGATAAATTTTATATCGTATGTGAAATGAATGTCTACAGGGTATCGGTGATATAAAATCGTCAGAGACTTGGGCGTAAAGATTTAGGCAATAATAAATAAAAACATTTACATAATGAAAAATATAGGCTAATATCAAATTATATTGATGAAAAACCAGATAACTCAGATTGACTTATTTTTCAAGATTAAACTATTTTCTAATAATAAAAAAGTTCAATAATTATTATGACTAATATGTATATAGCTAGAACAAAAATAATGATTACGCAGTGACAAGCTTCATTTTCTTTATTCCGAGGAAATATTCTGAAGCAAAACGTGTTCATACAAACATAACTGATAATATACATATGATATAAACTATTTTATTGTAACTCAATAAATACTAACCAATTTTTCACTTTATATAATGTATATTACATGTCATATTGAATATTCTCGTAGATTTACATAATAATTCTCAATATGAGAAATCTTTCATTTGCCATAATTATTTTGAAACAATAGGTAATTATATCCAGATATGTTGCAACATGTGCAGATTTGCGCAAATTCTCATGGAAAAAGCATTAATAAACTGCTTTCCAACAATTGCGAAAATTTATTGATAATATAAATATAATAATATAATTTAGAAGTTATATTATTTTCACACCATAGACAATTGTGGTGATTCAGAAACAAATGCTATACTTATTTTGAAGGCGAAAATCATTTATATCGATTTTACCCAAGCACTTTTGGATTATAACTACTTTAAATTAAAATTTAATCTATAAATGTTTTAACTTTCCAATATTTTTGTTTTCTATTAGTAGTTGGAGTAACTATTAATTCAATTCGTCTCTTAGTTAAATTGCTTTTTTAACTTAATTTAGTTTTTTGTTTACTATTTTTGTTGTTTACATCTTTGCCCGAGTAAAGGTTTACTTGATTCTTTTTACTCCACCGACATGCAAGCTTTTTTAGAAGTTATATAAAAAAACTGTTGAATCTAACTTAAAAACAATAATACATCTTATTAATATTATATATTATATTAAGGTTTCGTAAACCAACAACAGTGTTTACAACAAAAAACTAACAACGAAACAAAATACTTTTGCTATAGATTTTCAAACATGGCCTGCTGGTTACAAATCTTTTGCCCTGTACTTTCAAATATTGTAGTTTTAAAAAATCATATCATTACTCATTTTTGAGATTTTGGTACATCTCAAATAAATAAACAAATAGTAAATATTGTTTAATTGTTTATTTAACTTAGTTTTATCATTGAGAAAGTGTAGATTTGCCATCTTAAACAAAGTATCCTCTTGTTGGTGCTGAGCCTTTTAGCTTTAAGTAAAATTGTTAAACAAAGAAGCATCCATTAATTAGGTTGTAAATTAAATCTATCAAACAAATCTATCATATATATATATTAGGTTGTAAATTAAATCTATCAAACAAATCTATCATATATATATATATATATATATATATATATATATATATATATATATATATATGATAGATTTGTTTGATAGATTTAATTTACAACCTAATTAATGGATGCTTCTTTGTTTAACAATTTTACTTAAAGCTAAAAGGCTCAGCACCAACAAGAGGATACTTTGTTTAAGATGGCAAATCTATACTTTCTCAATGATAAAACTAAGTTAAATAATAATATTTTATTATTTAACTTAGTAAATATTAAATATTAACATTTTAGCGGAATATTGCAATGATGTACGACACTTACGAATGAAAATAGTTTCTCAATGTTTAGTAATAGTTAAATATTCTAAAAACATGTCACACAATCGTATTTTATATTTTAATTTGTGTACAATTAAATACTTAAGTAAAAACTATCGTTTTTATCAGTTTCCTTTCTTTCGCGATTTCAGTTATGTGGAAAGAAATAATTGTCTAAATTTTTGCATACTGTGGAATACAACATGTACTCATTCGTATAATAATATTGTATAATAATATCGTAAGAGTAACTTGATAAAAATAAGTCAAAAAGAGTTTTTTCAAACTATTGCAAATCAATATGGAGTTTTTAAATGAATTATCAAAACATAATATGATTATATTTTCAATATGCATAAAACTTCGATCAACTTTATTAATGTATTTAGTTTTAGAACTTATGTGTGATATATATATATATATATATATATAATACATATATATATATATATATATATATATATACAGTCGTATTGTCGAGCCGAAACGGCAAAAAAAAATCGCATACAGAAAATGATTTAATAAGTGAATTTTATAAATTATAAGTCAACTAATTTTTATTAAATATTTCTATTATTGTAATAAACATACATATATGTGCACAAAATGGGTTTTGTAATAATTTTTGTTTCTTTCCTTTTCGAACGGAACCGGAACAAATTTGAGAACCGGTTTTTAAACCGGTTTACAAACCGGTTTTTTTAATTTTAGCGTAAACGGTTTTAGTACTTCAATTAAAAGTTTCATATATTTATTATTAACATATACCATATGTCATTAAGTAAAGTCTGAGTCTGAGTTGGCCTGAGTCTGAATGTGATTGGATGATGTGTGTGTAAATACGTATGTATGTATATATATATATATATATATATATATATATATATATATATATATGATAATTGCACAATCCATATATAATTTTATGTTTAAATAAGCTAGTAATATTTGTTTCTAAATAAAATTTCTTATTGTTACAGATTGAAGATCTATATTGACTCTGGTGAAAATAATTCAAAACAATGTCTCTAATTCATTACTATAATTACTACATGTATGAATTATCAGGTAAAATATTAAATAATATTCTAATTATTATAATTCATTATATCAAATGATATTGCCTTTCTGAATTTTTACTACAATTTATATTTTTAAGGATTTTGTATTTAGAAGGATATATCAACCTTATCTCTTTTTGTCGTATTTGCGCAGTGTGTTTAAATGACGCCTTTATTCTTTTAAATACCCAAAGTATTGTTTTAAAATTTACACATTTTATTTACGCTGAAATCTTGAATCTAAATATCACACTCAAAGTTTTAACAATTGATGTTCGGTGAGTGGTTCTCGCGTAAATAGAAACAATATTCAATTTTTATTTTAGCTTTAGTTGAGTCAGTTTTAGCTTCTAAAACTTTTGATCGTAATTGGCGAAATTTTAAATTCAAATTACATTTTTACATAAAGCGATAAAACAACACGATAATTTGAAATAAGGGACTTTAAAAATAAATGAAAATAATAAATTAGGGGAAAGTCCCCGAGTGCCGGACACCTAAGGTTATTTATAAATAAATCAAAAAATATTTTACAAAATGTTTATTTAATTATGGCTTATGTTAGGTAGACTTATGTTAGAGAACAAAGTTAGAAATTAAACTAAATTAACAAAAACGCAACCTTTGCTAAAAAATAATTAATATTATCAATCAAAGTTTGGTAACAAAAAATATCATTTTACAAAGTGGCACCTAGTACCGGACATTTCAAAATAACCTGCATTGATCACATATGTAGCCATCTCCATACTCTGAAATGTCTGCACATGTGTGTTTGACGAATATTCTTAGATTTGCAAAAAATATCACTATTTATCCACTAAGTTTTTCATTCTTTGACTGGAAAATACAAAAAATGGGGGTATGTAGTGACCGTTAGCACTCATACAGAACAAAATTTAATAATTAGAATAAATTACGTCAATTATCACAAGAAATATTAATACCGTTACTCTCCGGCGCTAAGGGACGACTTAGTGTCCGGTGCTAAGGGATAGACTTGTTCGATCATTTAGTGGTACCTACTAAAAATATCTAATAATATTTTACCATTTTACGGATAAGAATCAAGTACTACTTTTATCTTTGCATACCACAGAAATGTTAATGCATGAATATACTAGAATTACTTCCATTGATATTTAGGTGACGCCGTGATTTTGCGCTTAAAACAGCAAAGGGTTGCTCTCGCCGTGGCCGTGTGCGTCACAGGCGAGGCTTGGCGCGTGATTATGTACCTGTATGCCCCCCGCACCCCTTTCACTTGTATTTTGAGATAAAAAGATTTATACTCGTTTAAATAATACGTGTTGAATAGAGTGTCCGGTATTAAGTGCCGTCCGGCGTTACGGGACTTCCTCCTATATATTTTTGATCGAACTTGCTTTGCATGTTATTAACCTTTTGAAGTCGCATTTAACTATCTTACAAATATTAAGAGTGAATTATTTTGAAGTTGAAATATTTAATTCATTAATTTTAATGTTATGCACTGGTTTGTGCAATCTGAAACAAAGTTGCAAAGTATGTGGATGAAAATTACCCCGAAAGCATTCCCCGTGAGCATCAGGGTTGTATGACGAGACATACCCAACTCATATTTGCCCACTTTACTAGAATTAATTGAAGAAAAAAATAATAATCCTTATTGAATAGTTTTTTCAAGCTCAAAAACTAGTTTAATAATAATTTAGACGTTTTTATTTAGAAATATGTTATGTTTTTGCAGAATAGGTATTTGATCTTAGCAATAAATGTTTCATTTATTTTTATTATTGAAAAAAAAATACTGTGCTGAAACGAATTAAGGGGGCGTCCATCAATTTTTTGAGGATTTTTGGAGTTTCCCTCCAACTTGGTGATACATGGTAATATTCCAAATTATGTTAGACCCCCTCTCCAAACATAACGTGCATTTTTAGTCACAAAAAAATGTATTTTTTTTTTTAATGTTTGGATTTTTTTTAAATCAGGCAAAAAATAAATACACGTCATATTTCACTATATCCCTCCCTCCCGCACGAGAAATTTCGTGATTTTTTGTCAAACCCCCCTTTCCCCTAAAAACCTCTCGTGATTAATGGATGCTCCCTAATAGCATTTCAATGTATTTATATCGAAATATTGCTTCGAGATACGAACAATTCGACATGCGAGCGTGCTTACGAAACGAATTAAGCTTGTAAGGCGGGGTACCATTGTAGTTTACAGAGCACAGTTCTAATTTATGTTCAAATAGAGAAAAATTTGTGTGATTTATATTATTTTATTATTTTTTAGATAAGCGGACAATTGATTGGCCGTTGGTGTCACCAATTTCACTATGCACAGTACTAGGAGTATATTTTTACACAGTGTTTTCATGGGGACCGGCTTACATGTCTTTACGAAAACCTTGTAGCCTCAAAGCAGTATTGGCTATTTATAATTTGGGACAAGTTGTGGCTTGCTTTGCTCTCATACACGGGGTGAGTAAAATAAACTAACCATGAAACTTTGAAACTGAATGAATTTTTTTGTTATGGTGAATATATAGATTCTCTTCTAGAAATATGCGCAAGTTGTATCTTCTAAAAAATATGCACAAATTATATCTCTGAAAGCCTTACATCAAGCCGTAGTGATATAGGCTTTTACTTGAAAGTATAGATGGAAATATGTCTTCAAGTAAAAAAGGTCTTTTTCCGGCATTGTTGACTTGTAATCAAATAGAGATTGGTCTATCGTTGCCTTGTCTTTCAAAAAACGACGTAGTTAAGAAATATTATAGCAATAGCTTATAGGACTCTTAATTAATTATTAATGTTTAAATAAAAGTTCTAAGAGGCTATAAAAGTGAGGTTCATTAAACTCTAAATATAATTATGTTGATGTTTGGGGTTTCAATTTGGTATTATTTATGCTGCCTGATGGGGATAAAAAATAGATATTTGTTTTTATACACTTTTGTCTCAATATTTTTGTACTAATATAACAATTTTATATTCTCAGAAATGTTGAATTTTTCACAAATATTACAAAGCAATCAAATACGCTACAAGTGCAAGTTGTTGACGTTGTATAAAAACATTGGCACAAATGTCTTCTACTTGTAACATGACAGCACATATGTATTGCCTGATTTTTATATTAAATAAAGAAATATTTTTTATTCTGCATTAATATTTTAATTGATAAATAATTTTGAATAGATTCTTCATTCGGGATGGTTAACAACGTACAGCATGGGTTGCCAACCGGTGGACACATCTACATCGCCGGAGGCAATGCGAGCAGCATGTAAGTGATTTTTATTATTTTTTCAAATTATATTAATTTATTCGTTAATAAAATTTTATTAATGTAATTATCCTAATATTAGATCGTAGCGCTTTCGAATTTTCAAAATAAACATTTACTCAAACATGTTTTTACCTTGAGAAATATATTCGTCATCAATGAGTATGCTCTACAAATTACCAAAGATTCCGAGTATGAGATCAACAAGACGTAAAAATCAGAAACAGTAAATATCAATTTCACAAATTTTAAGCTATACAAATTTTAAACCTTTTGTTCCATATATGGTACAGCAAATTTTGTATTCAATTACAACCAGGTCTGTATATTATTTGCTAAATTGTGTTTCTAACCTAATCTCGAGTATTACTCATAATAATTTTATAATATATTTAATGTAATTTGCAAAAGCAATTTATTTGGTTATTAGTTATGAAAACGATAGATTACGTCATTATTGACGGCCCATGTTAAGGAATATAGAAACTAATATACTGATAAATATATGTACTATTTGATATTGTAAATTACGTAGATTTCAGTAAATATGTTTGTAAAAATTCAGCCTGAATATGTATTACCAAGAACTACGTTGATGATTTTCACCGATAATCTTTTAGTGCGGGAATCGGAACTGTTTCTATGTCATTTCATTTTTATAACTTTAAGAGCAATTTAAGACAATAATGAAAATTCATTTTCTATATTTATATTTACAGCCATGATGTGGTGGATGTATATGCTAAAAATTGTCGAATTGGTTGAGACCGTATTTTTCGTTCTGCGAAAAAAACAGAATCAGGTGTCAGCCCTTCATGTTTATCATCATGTCTCCATGGTTTTACTAGCATGGATTGGAGTCAAATATTTTCCAGGTATGACAAACATTTCATATTTAATTTTGGAAATCGTATTTTATAAATATGGTTAAAACAATTATGTGTTGGCATCAAACTTATACAAATTATATTTAAAAAATCATCAAAACTGAAAATACAATTAAATATGAACCAATTTTTATGTATTTGTTATGATAATCTATACAACGTATATTAGACCTATTACTTTAGTCAAATAATTATTGGCCTAAGAAGAATAACCGACAATTGACCTTCAGATATTACATAAAAAGGTAATAAAATTACTATCGAAATCACTAGTGCTGGCATAAGTTCAATGATTTTAATAAAAAATAATTACAAATAACCATAAACAAGTACCACAAAAACATGACGATACCATTCTCAAAGGAAATATTTGAAGGCGAGGCACACTTTTGAACTGAAAACTGATTGTGAGACAAAACTGTGACAATGACGCTCCACATCTGGAAGGATTATTATAATGTTTTTTTTTTCACATTATATAGTCGAGGAAAGATTAGTAAAACTAGCTAATTTTTAAAGAAAGCCTCTGTGTCATTTGGTTCACATATACCATATTGTCCTTATTTCTCCTGCCTGGTGCAAATTAAATTTTAAATTAAATTAAAATCATGTTTAATTATATAATATATAGTTGGGTACATATTTGAGAGCGTTTCTCAAAACAATCTGTTTTGAAATTTAGTTTCAGAATCTTTGCACTTCATAATTGAATACCTTACGTCCAAATAGGCTTGATAATAGTCTAATAAATTTAAAATCATTAGCTGTAGAAACTCGTGATTTCCAGTCAATAAACCAGTGTAATTGTCTGCGAGTCAATTCAACTTGCTGTTTTGTGAACCATTGAGTAAGAGTTATAAATCAATAATATGTTTTGCCTTATTAGTATGCAACTTACTTTTTAGATACTACTTAATAGCAGAATTATTTTGAATATATTATTTCATAGTAGGTTTAATAAAACAACAAATACCAGAAAAAAAGTGCGCGTAAGGTTCACACACGATGAAGTAAAACTTATTTTCTACTGTACAAGATGGCATTTAAGTAAAAATAAATACATCATATAACATTTTTGAATAATGTAAGTAATATGGTAACACTCGTGATGCACGCATTTTTAGTGTCGACCATTATAAAATGTAATTAAAGTCATACTTTAAATATGACATCATCGGTTTGTCATTGTAATTAGCATTTAGAAATGAACCTTCATTAGAGAAATGAAGTAATTGCTGATTAATAAATTTTATAATATTCATTCACACAGTGGATTATGCTAAACAACGCTTAAACAAATATTGTTTTTGCAACTTCACTCATCATGTAATTGTGTTTGAAGAACTTCATATAATTAAAATTAACATACATTCATTGACTGCTTGTTTTTTTTACTTTTTCGCTTGCGATATAATATCATTCTTTGAACAGCTGTAATATCTGTCTTGTCTAAAAAAATATTTTCCATTTTAATAATTTCAAAGATTTATAGAAAATACGAATAATATAGAAATAATTTCTAATAAATAAACTTACGTTTAGTGCACGACACAAATGTTTAATTTGTTATATTATTTTCAAGTAACAGGATAAAATATTCTTCTGATTCAGGCATTTTTCATTAAATCAAGGTTTGTACTACCATGTAACTTTAAAATGTTTATTTATCTATGCCGATTTCCTTGTTGATATATGTACGCATACAACGTTGATGCCGGTACGCATACAACGACAGATCTCTATTCACATACACGACGACTAATCACAATCGACCCGCATTGAAATGATTTCATTGAGAGCGAATGAAATACAGTTCGGGCGTAACGAAATTTCCGATGCATTTGTACGGATTCACATCCTAGTCGCGTTTAAAGAAGTTTTACTGGAAAAATAATGATTTTACTCCCAGAATATGAAAATAGAACGACTCAAACCAATATTTTTCAATGTTTCAGATGAATTGTTTGAAATTCTTTGTATTTTTTTTTTTCATTTTTTGATTCTTATTTGCATCATCTTGTTCATTGGATAATTTTTAATTAAAATGATTATATTATAGGAGGCATGATCACATTTTCCGTAATGCTGAATTGTGTCGTTCATATTCTTATGTACACATATTACTTCTTGGCTTTGGCGGGCCCAGCAATGCAGAATAAACTAAGCTGGTGGAAGAGGTCGTTAACCATCGTTCAAATGGTATGTATTTACTTGAAAATAAATTTATTATTACTGTTGTAAACTGTTTTTTTTTATTTTCCTCTTACTAAAATATCAACGCAATTTACTAAATGTAAGCATTTCAAATTAAAGCATAAATGTTGTAAATAAATTTTATTATAGTTGTTATTAAACATATTTTATATTTTGTTTCAGATCCAATTCTGCATTATTTTGATTCATTCCAGCCAAGCATTGAAAGAAGATTGCAAAATATCTAAATTCCTTGTCTTATTATTCATGCCAAATGTCGTTATCATATTCTATATGTTCTACGACTTTTACCAAAAAGCTTACGCGCCCAAAAAGTCCAGGAGCGTAACCACAAATGGTTCAGTAAGCTCGAATGGATTAAAAAGCCATTGAGTGATTTATTAATAAATAGATAATAAATTTATACATTACGAATTGATTGAACCACGTTTTCTAAAAAAAACTATTGAGATTATAGCTTTGCACGAGATAATTTCGTGCAAATAGGACATAACTTATGATGATGGCAAATTTTTCCAATCTTATATGCATTAAAATAAATGATGCTTATCGATGTTCCTTTCTGACTTTCCATGGATTTGAAAAATTTGCTAACTCTTACGAGCTTAAATAATAGGGCAAGTGCGTTATTAGATTGATAAGAATATAAGTTGTTGTGTAATCAATTATGAAAGCGTGGTAAAATCATATATCAAATATTATAAAACTTTGCATAGAAATATGCATTCATAATATTCTTATTAATTCAAATGAGTTGTACATAGGTATGTATAAAATTGTTTCATAAATTTAAGCGAGTGCTTAGGCATTATAGAATTTATCTTCCAGTCCACAGACCGCCACAGACTTTAAATTGAAGTATTTTGTTTGTAAAATTTTAATGGCTAATTCAAGAGCCCAAAATCTTTAACCATGAGAGCTAAACATAAATTTTACTACAAAAGTAATAGTAGATACTATAAGTATAGATTGATCATTACTTTTAGTTGGGTTGTGGCACAAAATTGTACGTCTAGTTTTTTATACAAAGTAATATATGTATAATTTTTTTATTCATAATTTTTAATATGAACAACAAACATTAAAGATGTTAATTACAACATTAGTCAATTATAATTTAGTGAATATTTGGCACTGAACAAAAGGTTTATAATTTTGCTATCCACTACCTAACAGCAGTAAGGATATAATATAAAACATGATATTTTTTGTCATGTATTATAAAAAAACAAAATTTGTCACACTTGGTGTTAAATTCTTGAAAGTTCTATGCGCTTTTTCGCGAAACATGAGAACAAGGCATGTGGCTTTTGTGGATCTACCAAAGTAAGTTAAAATTTAAGGCTAAGTTTTGTAAAATATACGAATAGAGAAGGGCTTTTTTAGAGACTCTTAAAATTATATAAAGAAGGCCTCGTGAAATAAATAAATAAATAAATCCACTGACTAATACTAAATTAGTAAGTAGTAATTTCAATTATCTACGATTTAAGTTTCATAGTCGATAGCTGTCTCACAAAAAGAGACAAATTATTGATTTATTGGTAAATTTTTTTTATAGGGTATTATCAAAATTAAATATTGATTGAAAAAAGTCACTAAGGTACGAAGATCTTTTAGGTTAAATTTTTGGTCAATTGTATTGAAAATTATTCCAGCTCAAGTATCTGCCATTCAGGCGGAGTAATAATTTTAATTAGCAGTAGGTACTTGAGTACTGTAGTACTTATTACTGGAGCAATAATTTTATTAATGCATAATTTTAACAGTACAGGTACATTTCGTAAATGATTATGTTTTTGGCAAATTTATTGCACGCAAGATTAAAACGCTCTATTATCATCAAATTAATAAGAATCGAAAAACTGTATATCACTTACATATGGATTATTTGTTTTGCTTTTTAGATAATATATAATAATGCAAACTATATTCATATTAAATTTCAGAAAAATGAGCTAAATTAATTATCGCAACGGGGTTTACGTGAGTTCGCTTTCTTCCAACAATTTTTTGCCATTAAAACACATTGTTGATTGTTATTACGGTCATAGCATATCGAATAAAATGAATATACTACTCATTATAGCGATATTGTTTAAATTTTATAAATTCTATGAATGACTACATCTGAATTTTTGTAAAATTTCAATATTTCATGAATGTCTTCTGCAATACATATCTCAAAATCCTAAATATAAAAATTTAGCAATAATATAAATATTTTTTTTCATAAACATTATTGCATACAATTGTACATTAATAATATAATTATATTATGAGTATAATATATATTATAATTATATATTTTAATATAAAATAATGTTTGGTTTAATTTTTAAGTAGGCTGTGGTTTATACTATTTACTGGTGATGCAACTGAAAAATTTAGAATGCATTTAATTTTTGGCGTAAAGATGAAATTAATTGATGTAGCTTTTTGGTAATGGCAATACTTTATTTAGGTTTTTATTTTCTAATTGTTTATTTATTAATTTCATTTTTTTGTTTTGATTGACGTTGGATATAAAATTACGAGTAAAACGTATTATTTTCTTATTTGATTTTTATGAATATCGCAATTGCACAGCGGAAGAAAATATTAATAATCATTATTTTGTTGTTTTTTTACTTTCTGTGCAATATTTTATACTTTCTCATTAGTTTATACTTTCTCACCTTTGATGATATGAGAATAAAAATAGAAAGACAACTGCAATCTTTATTTAAGAGAACTGAAATTATTATAATGATCATAATCATTTTTACCACAAAAAATAACAACATTTCTTACGATTTAATTTTTTGATTGAATTTGACAAGTGAATCTGTTTGAATTTATTTCTCTGTTTTTTACTAAAGTCTGGTGTACGATACGTTATCTAAAAGAAAATATTATTAGGTTTTAAATAAAATTACAGCTTATATCATTTATATTTTGTATAAATTTTCCCAACTTTTTTTAAGGTTGAATACCATTTTGATTTGAGTTATGTTTTAAGATTGAGTAATAAGTTTTTTCTGACAATTAGAGAGGAAAATAAAAAAGGTTTATTTTTAATAAAATTAAGTTTAGTTTTATTATTATAATAATAATATATTATGATGTTATTTATACGCAAAAGCTTCACGCTATCATAGCACATGTATAGCTCTATGTAAACCAAAAAATGTTTTACATATTTGATTTATCTTCAAAAGGCCTTGTTGATATAACATTGTAGAATAGACTGAGCATTTTATAATATTTAAAATTACAGAAAATTAGACAAAAATAAACTAATCTTCTTATTTTTGAGTGCCACGTTTTCTATACTGAAAGAATAGAGTCCAAAGCCAATGTCCATTTTTTTCAATACGGTTAATTTTGTTTGAGTATCGCTCAGTCAATTCTTAGTATAAACAATTTGTTTATTACGTTAATAAATTACATTGTATATTTTTATACAATATTTGAGTACAAAATATTTTTTTTACTTAAAGCGTTTTATGAGGAAACACACATTATCCTATACCACTTATTATCCGAGTTCCTAAATATTTGAAAAAAATGAAAAATATCAAATAATGTCATTTTACACTTTTCAATTGTTATGTCTGCAATACTTTTTATTCTCTGTTATGCTGTATTAGCTTTGTGAAAGTAAAATCATTTAAATAGTGTAGATCCTTGCCAAATTTCGGTCTTCGGAGGAAGGTCTGAATGTAACAAAAAAAATCCTAAGCTTTTTAAATACCGTGTCTTGAAGTCGACAATATAAATGGATATAAAACTATTAAATGGTTATTAATCAATTTTTTTTTTGATATTGTGTTATGAACTGCCCATAAATTAAACACCAACGTGTAAATTCATTATGTTTTGACCATTTATCTTTCAATTGATATTTTGCAACAAATCTTAAAAGTACTTGGGTGCTATTGAATTATATACAAATGAAAGATATAATTAGATGTAAAGTGTATAGCAACACTTAACTTGCCTTGGTTAAAATATTATTTATTCTTATTAAAATATTTGTATCTAAATATATATTCTGTAAAACATAACGTTTTAGTTAAAATAGATATATTTTATCACAGTATACATAAATTATTTTTAGACATGAAAATTGTGAATATTTTGATATGGAATTTATGAATGTAATGTAAATACAATAATTAAATAATTTTATTATGACAAATTTAATTGGATTTATTTGTAGTTTTTCATACTTTTTACTTCTCAATATCTATATTATGTTTAGATATAAAGAAGGAATATAGGAATAGATAAATAAGCATATAGATAAATAAGAATATAGGAATATTTATATATATATATATATATATATATATATATATATATATATATATATATATGAAGAAAAGTAAATCAAAAAGCTAGGGATAGCTTCGCACACTACTTCGGTATGGCGCTGTTTACGCATGTTGTGCGTGACTTTGCGCTTATGATGATTAAATTAATGCGCCAAAAATTTAAATAAAAAAATAATCTATTTAAATGTTGCTTTAGAATAGAATTATATTTTGTAACAATTCAATGATAACAAAAATATACCAAACAATAATATATTATAATAGACATAGGTAATAAAATAATAGATATCAAATCAAAATGTAAATATAAATCTCATATAATCTTTCATAAAAGATTCTATTATTCTATTACGACAAAGATCTATCCCCCTCTTTTATCTATTATAAAAAATTTGTAAAATTTAGTGAACACTGCAATGTAGTATTTGTACATTATTTCCAGTGCTATGCTTATTAATTTATTTTATCAATTAATTAATCGCTTCTTGTATCAAGTTTGCAATTGCCGTAGCAAAAGTGAGCAGAATGAAACTTATTAAAACTTTTGTGGACACTACATGGATTTCGATTTGTTGACTCTAAGGCATTCTTAAAAAAAATAATATCAGGACATTTTTAACTTCTTTCATATGTATTCAAAAGACTGTAGTGTATCAATCTTCTTTTTATAATTGATTATGCCTTTTAAAAGAGTGGTGTTGCCAAAATGTAAAATGATTAGACTTTCATTATATACATACTTCCACTATGTGCTTTATATTCTTTGCATTTAAAAGTTGGTTTGAATAACTAATCAAACATTATAAAGAAACTCCGCGAACAGAACAATCGTCATCATATATTATATACCAGACAATATTATATTTTCATCTAGGATTGAAACTGTTGCCGTTTTTGCATTATAACATAAAAGGCATATTATTGAGTCACATTCATAATATAATACATACTCATATATAATATTTATTGAAGTAAAACTTCTTTAGGCGCGACTAGGGTGTAAATCCTTACAAATGCAACGGAAATTGCGTTACGCCCGAACTGTACGTCATTCGCCATCGATGAAATCATTTCAATACGGGTCGATTGTGATTAGTCGTTGTGTATGTAAATAGAGATCTGTCGTATTAGCATCAACGTTATATGCGTACCGATATCAACAAGGAAATCTGCATAGATAAAAAACATTATAAAATTACATCGTAGTACAAATCTTGATTTAATAAAAAATGGCTGAATCAGAGGAATATTTTACCCTGTTTCTTGAAAATAATAAAACAAATTAAACATTTGAGCCGTGTACTAAACGTAAGTTTATTGATTAGAAATTATTTTTATATTATTCTTAGTTTCTATAAATCTCTGAAATTATTAAAATGGAAAATATTTCTTAGGCAAGACAGATATTACAGCTGTTCAAAGAATCAGATTATATCGCCAGCAAAAAAGTAAAAAAATTCAAGTCAATGAATGTATGTTAATTTTAATTACATGAAGTTCTTCAAACACAATTATGTGATGAGTGAAGTTACGAAAACAATATTTGTTTATGCGTTTTTTAACATAATCCACTGTGTGAACGAATATTATAGAATTTATTAATCAGCAATTACTTCATTTCTCTAATGAAGGTTTATTTCTAAATGCTAATTACAATGACAAACCAATCATATCATATTTGAAGTATGACTTTAATTATTATACATAAATGCTATTATAAATCTATAAATTATATAAATGGTTGACAATAATAAATGTGTGCATCACGAGTGTGTTACCACATTACTAATAAACATTATTCAAAATAAATAAGCTATGGAATTTCTATGGTAATCCCATGGTAATCCGATCTTATTTTGTTTCAAATAACAAAAAAATAATTTGCCAAGTTTTATTTAATTTGCCATTATACTATCGAAATATTTGTATTTCATATAAATCGAGTTATAAAAAAGTTAGATCATTTATTAGTTCAAGATGTTTAGACGCTATCAAGGTAGAAGAACCTCACGGATTATATGTGAGTATCACATATATTGTAAAAAAAATATAATGTTGCATTCTCAAAAAGTATAAATAATTTTTGTTACTTACTTAATTTAAATAATTAGATAACTCTCAATGTTAGCAATAATACTCATATTGTTTTGTAAAACTACATGCTTGAACGTTATTAAATTTTATTTCAAAGGTTACATACACTATATACAAAATTTGTTTTTTTTATTTTTTATATATATATATATATATATATATATATATATATATATGATAGTTTTGTCGACGTTGATACATATTTGTAATATTTTTGCAGCCCAATCGTCGAATTAAAAAAAATGATTGAATAACAAAATTATTCAATCCATTAATCGTTTCGATACTTGATGTATGCCATCATTCAGTAATCTAAAAAACATATTATATAAATACAAAGTTGATAATAAATATAAATTAATTAATTATAATTTTCTCCTTTTTATATATTTTTATTTATTATCAACTTTGTATTTATATAATATGTTTTTTAGATTACTGAATGATGACACACATCAAGTGTCGAAACGTTTAAGGGAATAAATAATTTTGTTATATAATCATTTTTTAAATTCGATGATTGGGCTGCAAAAATATTACAAATATATATATATATATATATATATATATATATATATATATACAATTACCTTTTTTATTTAATATAATGTAATTTAGCTTGCTAACGATGATGGTGTTGGTCAAGTAGTCAAGTGCTAATATCACTTAATATAACATTTTACAATGAAAACATAAAAATGAATAAAAGATCTTGAAATTATACAAATATATAAAACTAAGCTATTATTCAAACATTTTGAACGGTATCATAAAAATCATTAAAATGGTACAAGAAACATTTGACACATAAGTTTCACTTCAATCGCGTGTGAATCTTACGCGCACTTTTTTTTTCCTGCAAGCATTTCCTAATCGACATACTTCTGAATGCGTTACCTCAAATTCAAATTAACGAATATAGATAATTTAACGAATATAGATACTAGCGCCCATAGATAAAAGAAGAGTGTATATGCTAGCGCCAACTAGAGCCCATAATTAACGGCATTTATTTTTTAGAAATAAATAGGCTATGGAATTTCTATGGTAATCCGATTCATAGATAAAAGAAGAGTATATGGTGATCCGATCGTATTTTGTTTCAAATAACAAAATAATAATTTGCGCAATTTACTTTGTCATTGAAATATTTGTATTTCATATAAATCGAGTTATAAAAAATTAATATAATTTATTAGTTCAAGATGTTTAGACGCTATCAAAATAGAAGAACCCTACGGATTATATGTGAGTATCAAGTATATTGTAAAAAAATATAATGTTGCATTCTCAAAAAATATAAATAATTTTTGTTACTTACTTAATTTAAATAATTAGATAACTCTCAAAGTTAATAATGATACTCATATTGTTTTGTTAAACCACATGTTTGAACGTTATTAAATTTTATTTTACAGGTTACATATACTATATACAAAATAAGTTTTATATATATATATATATATATATATATATATAAACAATTCTGTTGACTTATTACATTGCATTTTTTTATATAACCATTAAATTATATATTTAATATAATGTAATTTAGCTTGCTAACGATGATGGTCTTGGTCAAGTACTCAAGTGCTAATGTCACTTAACATATTATAATAGAAATTATACAAATATATAAAATAAAGCTATCATTCAAACATTTTAAACGATATCATGAAAATCATTGAAATGTTAGGAGAAACATTTGATTTTATATAAAACGACATAATGCCAGATTTATATTCTAATATGCAGTATTAATTACATTCAATTTTTTTGTTATTGGGATATGTTAATATGATTATAAATATTATTTTATTTGCATTGATCGTTTTAATAATGATTTAGAAACTATAAACGATACGAAAATTATTTTAGTACTGAAATGTAACAGATTTGAAACAACTAAGTATTTATATATACAAAATAAATAATTGAATGAATATAAGTTTATTCAAAATAGAGAGTGCTATCTTGGGTTAACAAAATTTTGTCTATGGATTTGTTGAGTGTGACAGCGCTCTATACTTAAGCAAGTTCCGCTGCCATCTATTGAGTAATGCATGTAAATTAAATATACCGTCACACAATTTGTTTTGTCTATGAATTTCCCATGTCCAACCATTCTGCGAACATTAAGGGTTAGTGTTGGTTATAAACGTATTATTTGATTAAAGTTGTTATCAAATATCAGTGATAATAAATATTGAATGTAGTGCTTTTATGAGTTAAAAAAACGTGAATGTCACTCTTAATCATTTTGAAAATTCACCGCAGTACTTTTTTCCATTAGGGATCATGGCAGATGATATTTCAAACATTAATGACATTCAAGTTATATTAAGGATTTGGGAGGATAAACATGAAACTCCAGGTTATAATCCAATACCAGTTCTGACAAGGTTTGTTAAATATTCGTTCATGCAATAATACTTGCACAAACTAACCTACTGTCAATTCGGTACAGGTTGTCTGAAATCATAGAATATGAGACAGAGAATTATTACAACAAAGATCCAGATCCATTTGATGATCGTCATCCTATAAGATCTGATCCTGAGTGTGAGCTGGGACGCTTGTTAAAAATTCTTTTTAGGAAGGATAATTTTGTTACAAAGGTAACAGTTGTTATAATGCATTGGACCCACTGCTAGCATGAATGAACTACACATTAATAGTGTTATATTACAATAATACAGATAAGAAGTTTTGATATATGGCTGGAGACAAATACTTGTGTAACACATTTAATGGTCATGAATCAAATATTTTTACAACAGTATAAAGATTCTTGCGTTTCTAGAACTGCTTAAAAATATTTTGAGGATAAATACATTTACATTTTTTGCATAAAACAATATAGCTGTTTTAAGAAAATATTGTACACTTTACACTGTACATCTTCATATATATCGTTTAATTTTTTTCTGATTTGAGCAAAATGTGTTACATGTAGTAAACATAATTGATAAATATATTTTATGTAATAACATATAATCATGCATATATAATAAAATTAAATTATTATTAATTATGATAATAGTATAATCTTTAATTTTGAAACACTCATCTAATAAATAAATTGAAGTGCATAATATTTAGAATGAAGTGCTATCTTAAATGCAACAAATAATATTAAACACATTTATTTGAATTTTATAACTGGGCAATAGTTTTTTTCATTTTTTAAATGAAAATGAATGGTAATGTAATATTGTACACAAGTTTTGCCAATTTATTTTATATATATATATATATATATATATATATAGATTTTTGTAATATGAGTGAAACGAATATTAAATGTTCACAATATGTTGTATGTGAAACAATACAACATTCAGATTTTGAACACACACTTTATTTAATAATTACAGACGTCTCGAGACCATGGTATGCCTCATCTTCAGTGTAATTTATAAACATTATAATATATAGTAACACATTATTTTATATTGTATTTAAATAACATTAAATTCTTGAAAAACAGAAAACACCAACCATCTCTTACAAAACTTGACACAGTACTAAATATGTGAATATATACAGTTAACTGTTTTGAAATTACACTGAAGATGAGGCATACCATGGTCTCGAAACGTCTGTAATTATTAAATTAAGTGTGTGTTAAAAATCTGACTGTTGTATTATTCCTATTTAACATTTAATGTATATATATATATATATATATATATATATATATATATATAAAAAACAAATGTTTTGACAGCTGGTCAATGATTATCTTCGAGACTCATATTTTTCTCGTCAACAAATTGTTCGTGATGTTGCACCTTTAAATGTAGCTGCCTGCAGATTAATGTGGGTAATATTGCCAGGTCTTGAAATATCTGCTGTTTTTCAGGTACTGTTTTTTAATTTACTATAAAAATGTATTAAATTGTCGTTAAAAAAATATAATTTAATTATTTTGTTTTCAGACTGATATGGAAAATTTAATGATGAGACTGTTTAGTTGGGCTGAGAACAGTTATGAGCCACTACAAAGTTATGCTACTGGTTTACTTGCTGCTGCCATGGATGTTCAAGATATTGCCAATGGATATAGGTATAGATATAGTTCAAATAGACATTTGGAAGCATTTAAACAAAACTATTTTTGGTATAACTCTTGTATAATTTTTTTTTTTTACATTGATTTTAATCATGTCTTCGAATTATTGCTATATTTTTAGACATAACAGAAGAGTCTATAGAGATAAGCATATATGTAATAATTATAATTCTATACATACAGAATTTTTTTTAATTTAATGACTGGGTAATGATTACATTTAATATTTTTCTGCAGAGAAAAAAATGCAAAGTTAGTCCCATTGCTACTGCAAAGATTGCATGGAATGCATATACCAAAAGAAAAAGATGATGAATTCCAGAGGCCTTTTGGGCACTTTGGTAATGAAAATGGTATGTTTTTATTGAATCAATTGCTGTTGTTTCAATTCAAGTAAATATAATACCTTACTAGAACGTTTACATGTTCAGGAATTTACACATTTATACAAAAACAAGTTAAAAAAGACCAAATTGGAACTAAACTAATATTTGGTAATCCTTAACTGAAAGTATAAAAGATATGTCATAATTAAAATACTTTTTTTTTATGTTCCAATAGTACTAGAGTTTTTGTACATATACTAATATAAAAATAACTTATCTTAGATCCTGCACTAATGAATAGTGATGCAAATTCAGAAGCAAGAGATAGTAGTAGTGAAAGCCATAATGCAGGAAATACTTCCAAGAAAAAAGGTTTATTATGTTCCATATAACTTATAATAATTAATATTATTTCTCATCCTAAACTAACTTTTTTATTCAGTTCGTGTGCGACACTGTGAAAATGATTCAGTAGTGCCAGTAAAACAATTAAAATTCAATCCAGACAATGCCAAAGAATTGGGTGATGATGCAGCAGTTTGCTCTACCTCACATTTTCAAGAACATGCAATAGGTGATATAAATTCACCAACCGTAGCTTCATTAGAGTCTGTACACGGCTTATCACAAAATTCCACTAGTCGAGATGGCCTGAGTGGTAACGCGATCATGGGGCGAAGGATTTCGGTAATTAATTTTTAATAACATAATTAAAATAATTAATACTGCTGAACTTTAGAATTTTGTTATTTATACTTTACATGATTATATTTATTTATTTTTACATTTTATTTTAGATTTATCCGCCTACAGATGAATCTAAACAAATGCTGATACTGCGCTATCTGACATCTATGGGGGAATACCAGGAGGTTAGATGACTATTAATTTAATTGAATTTTTGAAATATTTAAACAAACTCTTTTTTGTGTCAAAGACAATATCTATTATATCTTGTCTGAAATATAATCAGCTCGACCACTGATTACATGTTACAATATTGCAGTTCCTGGGTCATGTATTCGAACAAAAAGCTTTAGAGTTGATACTACATTATATCAATGGGAAAGAAATTCGTTATCAAAGAATAGCATTTGAAGCTCTAAAATACTTAGCTGCATTGTTGTATCATAAAAAGGTTTCAATTGAATTTTTATCCATGGGTGGATTGCTAGTAAGTATTATAAATGCATATGATGTGTGATAATACTGTGGAATCTATATTACATATTTTTTTAGCGTCTTTTAGAGGTACCACGACCAGGAATAGCTTCAACTGGGGTATCAACATGTTTGTGCCATTTGGCTTACAGTGAAGACACGATGGAAAGGGTTTGTTTGATGCCCCAGTATGTGATAGCCGATCTTGTACGCTATGCTTTATGGCTACTTCAAAGTACACATGAATCAGGGGTCAACAATGCAGTTATTTTTTTTAGTTTTTCATTTCAATTTAAAGTGATACTAAATGAATTTGACAGTCAAGATGGTCTTCGGAAACTTTATAATGTGATATCAGTTCTCCCCATATTAGTAAACGAAGAAGATAGCCAAATGACGGATGACCAAGAATATTCTGCCAGGCAAGCCGTCAGACATGTGTGTGTAGCGTTGAAACGTTATTTGGAAGCCCACCTTTATCACAAATATGTACAAGTTATGAGACAATACAATCCTGATGCGGCACCATGTGCTTTATTACCATATAAAGCTTGCAAATCAACACCAGAAGAAGTTGCAGTGCAAGTACAAACGTTGCAGGAATTGCTGTTCTTTAAATCCCCTTGGCCCCCAATTGATGAACTAATGAGACTTGGTGGCATCACATTGCTATTGTTAGTCATAGCATTCGCTTATGAATGGAATTATAGTGGTCGTGCAGAAACAGTACGCTCTGCATTAGATGTCATAGCTATTGGTTGTGTCATGCCGAAAGTTCAAGCCTTGTTGTGTGAAAAACTTGATTTACCAGAAGAAACATTGACAGTTGGTACAAGTATAGTATTAGGAGCTGCTGAAAGAGAAATAGTTGCCGATGCCGATGTTCAAAAATCGGCTTTAGCTGTTTTAGTGAACTGTGTGTGCGCTCCCTTAAATAGGGTGAGTTAATCTAATCTCATATGCATTTGTATATCACTTTTTTATGTTGAAAAACATTGGAATTACCTCAATTAACAAATAAAATGAACAAATGTTGTTCATGAGGTATATATGAAGTTAATTGTTTATTTTTTGTGATTTTGATGTGTGGCCTGACTATGGACAATACCCATTGTATACATAGGTTTAAATGAAAAGCTTAGTACATAAACTTTTCAATTTTGAAAAATAACTTACGTTTTTATTTTTACTCATTTATTATAATGCTTAATCAACACGGTTTTTGTTGCTTTTCATTTTGGGCAAGTAAGAACAATTACAGACTGTTTGTCTGTGGTTATTAAATAAAAACTTCATCCGTGTTTCAAAAGTTGATATTTAATACTAATATTTTCAATATTTTTTCCAATTTTACATCAAATTACAATAAAAACTAACACATTTTATTGTATGCCTTCAAAAATCTTTTTATGTGATTCTTGGCCTGAATAGTTTTCTCTTAAGCTTCAACAATTGTTGGCTATCATGTGGAAGTCCCTCCCACCTTCCTTGATATTGCTCCTCCAAAGTCCTGATGACTTGGTAGATTTTCTTGCCTTGCTTTTGGTTAGCATATTCAAGATTTTTCAAAAAATGTTCTAAATAAATATTTGGCTAATGAATTGAAATTTATTTAAATATCCATCAAATATATTAGTTTTTAACTCTATTTTAGGTTCTAATCAATTCTTGAATATTAAATTCAGCTGTCTATTGCATTATGTATAATTGCATTAATATATAATTGTAGAACGTGCTGAAATAAAAACTTTGTTCATAAAGTGGAGTGTATTAAAATATTATTAAACATAATTTAGGAATGTATTTCATATCACTAACATGATATATAATATATCCCATAGTTTGACCCTTTGAATTTTAATAATTATTAATTATTTTACAGGGAGGTGCTTCAATAAGCCGATTTTCATCAAGTGGAACACCAGCGATGAGAAAAAAGACCCCATTGAAATCTTCTGAAGAGTTAATACAGAAGGTGTGGGAAAGTGTTAGAGCTAACAATGGTATTTTGATATTGCTACAATTGATGATGGTAAAGACGCCAATAACAGATGCTGATGCTATTAGAGCATTAGCTTGTAAAGCCCTTGCTGGATTGGCTCGATCAGACAAAATTAGACAGATTATTAGCAAACTTCCTCTTTTTGCCAACGGACAGCTTCAAAGTAATTATGTTTAATTTCTCATATTTTAGTAGGCATATAGTTGATTTATATGATCTTTATATCTTACATATTTTATTAAACAATTTATAAACTATTTTTATTTTATTGTTATAATGAAAATTAATTCAGAAAAATCAACAAAGGAACAGTATTTTGTTTGAAATTATTTGTGCAGTTTAATCTTGTATAAAAAATTTGCAAAACACTAGTTATTTCTAACATAATCAGAATAATAATTTTGCTAAATTTCTTACCTTTTCCTACATATATATATATATATATATATATATATATATATATATATATATATATATTGCAAGAAATTAAAATATAATATTTTGTTTAATTTAGATCTGATGAAGGATCCCATACTGCAAGAAAAAAGACAAGAACACGTTTTGTTTCAAAAATACGCTTTAGAATTAATGGAAAGAGTGTCTGGAAAAAGTAACAGTGGTGAATTCTTTTCATCTTTAGCAAATATACACAGAGTAAGTCAACTGATTTGTTACTATTAATAACATTTTTTTAAATTCAAGTTTATTGGTTAATTGTGACAATTATAAATTATTTTTTTAGGCAAATATAGTAGCTCAAACACGAATCCAATTTAATGATAAGCAGCTACTGCAATTGATACATCAACATTTGTTAGAACGTGGAATGGTGGATTCAGCAACAATGTTGCAGAAGGAGGCTAAACTAAACTATAGTAGTGCTAGTAGGGCAATGCATTCCCAATTAGGCGGTTATCGAACTCCATCTAATACCTCAGTGCAAGCTCGGGTTAGTAGACTTAAACTTATCTATGTTTTTCATGTATCTGAAAAATATAAGAGTTGATTTAAAATTGTTGAAAGTTGAGAAAAATTGACTTTTATATTTAATCTAATACAACTTAAGGGTTGTATATTTTACCTGTAATTATAGTTTTTGATCTTTTTTTTTTTGAATGTTATTAAAACTATATTATTTTATTTTTCATAATATACACATGATTTTTATGTTATCATCAGAACATTGTTCTCAAAATTATTTTGTTTTCAGAATTTTAAAAATGAGTTTTTTTGCATGTATCATTACATATTTCAATTTACTTATTAATTGTATTTGTCTATTTATTAATTTGTAAAATTGGGTTTTGAAAAGTTTCTTCGCTTTATATTTAAGCTGCATTGCACTAGTAACTATTTTTTAGAACATGATTCAAAACCATATATAAATATTATTTTTTTATTTACTTATTTTATCTTCTAATTGTAGAATCGTTTGGCAAGCCAAAGAATAATGTCTCCTAGCAATTCTCAAGGTACACCGACACAGCTTATTAAATTTTTAAATTATGAAGCTGGTAGATCAGGAGAAACAGTTTCTGAGAATTTTATGACTCCCATTCGTGTTCGAAAACCTTCCATTGCTCAAACTCTACTTGACAAAATATCAAGTCAGCCTTGCACAAGTCAAAGGTCACTGGAGAAGCAAATATCTTGCACTGAAACAGCACCACATTTTAGTCCATCCAAACCTAATATAGCTAACACAAATGTTCGTGCAGTGACATTGGATTCTATAGTTACTGAATACTTATATAACCAACATGCATTATGCAAAAATCCTATGTCCACATGTCCGCAGTTTGATTTACTAGTGTATGTATTTATTTTTCTAATATTTATTTGAATTTTATCATAGAATTGAATTAAAAATTAAAATTTTTCAGGCCTCATAAATGCCCTGATCCTAGACCAAGCAAAATCATGTCCCAATGTACAAATTTTGTGAGCAGGTTTACAAGACGTCCCTTAGGTTATGATTTTAAGAAATTAGATAGGCGATTTACTCACTCACAATTTTGTCCTGTGAAAACATTTAGGCCTACTGATAATGAATCTTTCTTTACGTGCTGTTCATTTGTGGTATGTACTTGTTTTTTTTTTTTTTTTATATACAATTATATTATTGTGCCACTTACCATAAGAAAGCAATTATTATTATTATTTTGTTTATAAAACCATGATGATTATCAAAGTATCACATTTTTATAATGAGTACATCTTGAAAATATTAAAGAATATAGTGTATTTATGTGTTAATTATATTTTATTCCACTGAATAATAAGTGCTTTAGTATTTTGGTGATACTGCCCGAATCAATAAATATAAGAATAAAAAGCTAAGATAATTAATCTTTAATTCCAAACATTTCGACATTCAATTTAATGTCATCATCAGCGGTTATTAACGTTGGTAGGTTACATCCAAAGATATGTAAACAACACTCGAAATTAGCGCTAACATTTATACAACTAGCTTGTCAACACCATGAATTTTTTATCATTTTTTTGTATGATGTAAAAAGAAAAATGATAATTTTATTTGACAAAAATGTGAGTAAAGTTAAGTAATTTCTGCCACAACTTGTGTACTTTTTGCAGTCTCCGAGGCATTTCTAGAAAGATAGATTTCTAGATTTCATTTTTGTTAAAGGAGTTTTGTCTTTAATATTGAAATATAAAAATTTAATTGTATCAGTGTAAAAAAAAGTAGTATGTATTTTGTGTGTATTAAACAGTATATATATATATATATATATATATATATATATATATATATATAATATGCTTCATATTTTTAGAATGGTCAGCAGAACTTGATTGTTGGTACATATGCTGGTGATATAAAAATTATCAATACTATGACAGGTTTAGAATTAGCAAGCTCACAATGTCATGAGTCCTATGTGTATAGTATTCAAACAAACAGGAATTCTACCTTATTATTATCATCTTGTACGTGGAGAAGACCATTGTCAGCAATATCTTTAATCACCAACAATGGATTAGTTACCAAGTAAGTGATATTTATAAGTACAATATTTATTTTATTTATACATCATGAAATTCGATTATGGATATGTCAGGCTTTTTATTAACCAATAATTCCAATGTCTTCTCATAAATTGGAATCATTTTTGCTGTGAATTTTAAACGATTTTAAAGTGATAACTTCCAGCAAAGTTGAATTAAACATTTGACACAACCATGAACTGGGGTATGGAAAAGTCAAAGTGAGAATTTTTTGAAGACGTAGGCTGTCCAAAAATGCATACTTTTCTGAAAATGTAGAAAATTGTCAAAACTATTTGTAAATTGTTTAAATGTGTTGTAAATTGTCTATAAAGTGAACTGAACAGAAACCCTTAATGCAGTTTTTGCTAGAATTCTTGAAAAAATAAAAGTCAAACATTTTGTAAACTCGATAATTCTAAATGTTTAAACCAACTATATTTAAATATGTATTCACTTTTTTTTTTGATAGTTTAATAATATATTCTTCTTATTGTTTATTCACTTTGTTTTTGAAGTTTCTTAACCTTACAAATGATTTGGACATTTTAATTTTACTATTGTCATAGAATGCATTTTTCTTGCAATTTTAAACATATTCATATATTTGAAATCGACTGCATTGACAATTAGTTTTGCACTTAGAATTGGAACAGATAGGTTGTGGATTAACATATCATAAATAAGTAGATAAAATTGTGATAAATATTTATCATATTCAATTTGTCATATTTGAAATTGATTATACTGTGGATTTCAGTGTAATTCTTTTTCATGATAATTACCAAAATGTTTTTTAAAGTCTTGAAGTAATTGGTGCAATAAAATTAATGCTGACATAACTTACATAATACTTCATGTTGCTTATTAAAAAAAAACAACTTTTACTATAGAAAAACAACTATGAATTTATAATATTATAAATTAATTCATCAATTTCAGAATCTCGCTACAAGATGAGGAATATATAGAGTTTAGTAATCAGCAAGATAAAGTTGTTGGAACTAAAGGACAAAGTGCAAAGGTTAGGTTACCATGAATATAAAAGTCAAATTCAAAGTTACTTATATCATGTAATTTCAGATTATTGATGTGCAAACTGGTCAACAATTAGCACACTTTGTTCCAGTCATTAGCAACTCTTATAAAAACAACAGGGCTACATTTTCTCCTAATGATGATCTTGTTTTATCCGATGGAGTTCTGTGGGATGTCAACTCAGGAAAGCCTATTCACAAATTTGATAAGTTCAATCAGAATTTGAGTGGGGTCTTTCATCCTAATGGAATCGAGGTTTGTTTATAGTAACTCATAATTACAAAATTCGATTATAAAGTAGGAGTAAAATTAAGGTTTGTTATTATTATTTCTACATGCTAGAAAATTGATCAGTTGATCGATACATGGAATTGGTGTCACAAAAAAAAAAAAGTGGCTTGTGAATTAATCACATGGGTTTTATGCATGGTCATCAACTTTTGGGACAATACTAACAAATTATCAACATGAATATCATTAGTAGATTTAAAAAAAAAAAATTGTAACTCTGCTTCTAGTTAACAAGCACAATTTAATATATATGTATATAAGGGATAATTATTATGCTTATGTATAATGCATGACAAATGTTTGACAAAATCTGATATTTTAATGTTTATTTAAAATGTCTATTTGCAGGTTGTATCAAACACTGAAGTTTGGGATATTCGAACTTACAACTTACTAAGAACTGTTCCTTTACTTGATCAGTCCCATATAAGATTTTCCATAAGTAACACAATATATACTACTAGCTTAGAAAAGGAGACAGATAATTCTTCTGAACACTATGAATCATCATTCAAAACATTGGATGCAACAGATTATTCTAGTATATGTAAGTAAATCTATGATATGGGTACATTTGTTTTAGGAAGATTTAATAATGAACGAAAGCAAATTAACTTAGCTCAAAAGAATTGTTTTTTAAATATATACATATATATATATATATATATATGTATGTATATATATATATATATATATATATATATATATATATATTGAACAAAATTTTGACCTAAGAAGGTCTGAATCTGTTTGATTTTTTTTAAATTCACAATGTGTAAATAAGAGAAGTTCTTTTTCTTTGCTTTTCGACAGCTATCAAAATTTAATTAATGTATGCAAGTTTAATTTTTTTAATATTTGGACAATTTTTTACCACTTTGTTTTCTTTTCTTCTTCTTTTTCAAAATTCAAAATATTTTGATTACTTCATTTTTTTAAAATTCATATATATATATATATATATATATATATATATATTATATTCGAATATATTATATATGTATATGTATATATATACAGTAGAACCTTGATTATCCGGACCTCAGTTATACGGATTCGAGATTATCCGGACTACCAGCCGCGACAGAGTTATATGTATTTACATACATAAGAAAATGTTAATTTCTTATTAAACATTGATTTTCATTGATATCTATGTATGTATTTGTTATTTTTGATAAATACACATCATTATTCTTCATACATTGGATTATCCAATGCATATCAACAACAATTAGTTCAGTTAATCGAGGTTCTACTGTATATATGTATTAATTTATAAAAAAAAATAAAATTTTAAAATTCATAATGATTAAGATAGATAAAGACATGCACTTACAAAAATACGTAGTGCTTTTGCAATTCAACACTTTTAATTTTGTGCTTTCAGTAAATGTATATAATTTTTTTATTACAGCAACTATTGAGGTTCGTCGTAGCATATATGATCTGTGTGTAAATGAATGGGATAGCCAAATTGCTTTAGTAGAAATCAGGGTCTTTATGATTCGGTTCAAGAATCTGCTATTAGGATATATGATGTTGGACGGAAGCGCGAACAGGATGATGATGAGGCAGTAAGTGGAATTATGATTATATATTGATTCTATATATATACAGGTGTCCTAAAACTCAACATCAAGCCGAAATGGGGTGATATTATTGATCGTAATTATCATGAAAAAAAGTTAGAACAGTACTTATTATATGGAGTTTCAAAGTTTTGAGCATTTAAGAACAACCTAGAGCTGTGATTATTTTTATATTATTGTGGTTAATTTTTATTAATTTTGTTCATCTGAACTGTTCACATCCGTAAATAAAATTTCTAGGACCACAATAAAAAATAATGATACAATTGCTTCAAGTTTTTAAAATTTAAGACATTTTCTTAAATTATAAATTTAAAATTTTTAAATTTGGTTGAATGACCAAATTACCTATACACTTTAGTACTTCCTTTTTTAAAGAGGGCCTCTTAAGGTAGAGCAATTTAAAAAAATGCTTTTACTAGTTTAATAAAAGTCTTAATTCTAGAAAACTTGGGGTAAATGTGTCATAATTTTGGACTGTGTCTCTAGAAATGTTTTTTACGATTACGGATCGAAAACCTAATATATATGTATGTATGTATGTATGTATGTATGTAATATTTGTATATATACCTATCCCCTGTTTTGCATGGTTTTTGAAATTCACTATTTTTTTTAACTAAATTTATTAATTTTGAATTTACACGAATTTATAAACATTAAACCATAGATAAGGAAATTAAACTATAATTTGTTTATATCTTCAATGACATTTTCATTGTTTTGCTATCAGAATACAATACTACAAAATGTATTTTACAGTTACAGTTACTTAGTAGTCTATGTGTGATTGATAATTGAGATAAGATTTTTATGATCAATACTAAATTTTATTTTATTAATTTAACAAATGTGTTTCATAATAAGTATATTAATATTTTATAATAAGTATATTAAAATCTGACAAAAATGACTTTTTTATAGTGATTTTCATTTAACACAGTAGCAAAATAATATGCTACAATTTGCAATTTCATAATATATATGTAATAAATATATATTTATTATGAATTAATTTTTTTCATATTTTCTTCAAAAAAAAAAACTAATGTAAGAGTAATTTATATTTATTGCTAATTAAATAATGATAAAAATTGCATAAGATTTAAATAAGGAAAAACTTTGCAATGCTCCTTGAATCGCGGAAAATAAAATCAAAAACTTCTAAATCTAAATATCAGCTGCAAATGTTTACTAAGAACTATGATGAATTTAATATATATTTAATATACATTGACTATCATATATCAGAAAAAAAAACTAATTCAATCAGCATTGTTATTTATAAATGTACAATTATTTCTTGGCCTTTTCAAACAATAAAAAACCTAATAACAAATTGTATGCTTTTGAACTATGCAAAATGTTTAATTTGCGTTGTGGCCAATTGTGACAGAAATATTGTATTCAAACATTTATATATACACAATATACATGCAACCACATTACACAGAGTGAACGTATGCCAAAATAATAAGATATCGAATTCTAGTTTTAAATTTTTGGTTTAATTATGCTTTGGGTATTAAATAATTATTTTTTTTAGGAAGAAGATGATGACAGTGATATGGATGGTTCTGATAACGGGTCTTTGTCTTCTGATGTTGAAAGTGAGGATGACATAGAAAGTTAAATTATTTAAGAAAAAAGAAATGGCAAGTTCTCGAAGCACTTAGCAATGTAATTTGATGGTTATAGATGTCGCAGCAATTCTGGATGAACAGGAAATCAATAATTTTCGAGAACGCCGCAATATAAGACGCCGGAATAGAGGGGTGAGAATAGAAGATGGTGGGAGCGAGAGCGAAATCAGTTTTAATTTATCGGATGATGATGGTGATGACGATGATGATGCTTCAGAAATTTCAGATATAAGCGCTCTCGCGGAAATGTTATTTGATCATTAGCAATTAGTTAATTACATTGTTAAATAAACAGACTAAATATATTTATTATGAATTTATATATCTATATGCAGAAATTATTGGAATGGAATATACTTGTTAATTGATATAGACGTCTATTTTCCATCTATATCTGAAGTATCGTTTTCTATACAATTTTATATAAAGTCTTGTTTTTCTTCAAAGACTATTAAAGTGGAAAAACAAAAATAATCTATTTTAATTGTTATTATTTTTTTATTCACATCATTATTTCCAATTTTGCATGCAATTATAATACTTACGTTTTTTGTAATGTGTTTTTGATAATCTGGACATAATTTTGTTGCAGTTCACTTCATATTCTGCTATTATTCTAATATATATGAACATTTAACCACATTTGTTTTTTTTATTCCTTTCTACATCATAATCATCTTTAATAATGTGTTAACGTGATTCTAACAAATTCAAATATTACAAATTTACTTTCTACATAAAAATATAGTACAATAATTTCTGAACATTTGTCCGGTACTTGTTTGTTCTTCCCTCAATTTTAGCAATCTGTGCTTAATATACATGCTTAGCTAAAAGCTCATCTATTTTGTTACTTCCTTCTGTTAATAAAAGTGGTCACTTCGTTAATGGATGCTTTAAGTAACTTACAATTTCCGTAATCCACTTTAATGTTGTATATGTACAATTGTTATGTATTGCATTTTTCTTTATATATTTATATATATTTTTATTCCATTTGTAAATGCTTGCATGTTATATATTGTAGTGTGTGTATATTAGCTGTAAGTATGCATTAGTTTCCTTTTTGTTATTTTTCTGCAGTTGCATCACTTGGGTTTTTAATCCTTTTTATTCTTATATCAAAGTTCTTTTCTAGCATTTGTTGGTTCAAAAACTATTAAATACTTGAGTGGCCATAACTGGTGAGTACTTGTGTGTTTTAATCCCGTTTCTGTTTTTATTCTGTTTTATTTTTTGTTTTAGATAGTTTCCTGAGGTTAGTCATAATGGTTTTACTAGAAGCCATGTGTTCAATTTTATCACCGTTCATTGGAATGAATTTTGGCCAGATGTTCTGGCTGCAGATTTAAGGACTTTTGATCAACAGTCTGAAGGATTATTCATTTATCATGCAAAATTAATATGAATAGTAGAATCATTGAATTGCAAGGGCCAGTTTTGTGCTAAGTATTATGAGCTCTAATAAAATTTCTCATTCATGGCAGTTTGCAATTTTCAGAGCTCTATAGCTCTGAATAGTTTTTAAATTAATACCTTTTTGAATAATTCCAATATATTTATTTAAAATATTATTAAACTGACTGATAGATAGGATCACAGAAAATATTAATTCTCTCATGAGCTTTACTAAACTTTAATGAATTTTACATTAACTTAATGAATTTGAAATTGAATTGGAGTTTGATTCACGTTGATTTACTTGTAAATCTATCTGCTCATATTTTGTTTGTATTGAAATGGTATTTAATACATTCACTGCTGCGCACACATATATGATGGGTATGACCGTTGTCAACAACCAGGTGCTGAATGCCTTCCTTGTACTTTAGAGAAGTGTTTTTATTTAAATAAAATGTTGAAATTGAAATTCTCAACTGTAATTATTTCAAACAGAAATAGTCTATTTATCCTATTTTGGCACTTTTTTTTTACATTTCCAGCTAACATGTCCAGAAATGGGTTTATTTGTGAATGTGTACAGAACTGAGCTATCTAGATTTTTTTCACTTATACTTTTTAGTTTAATCTTATGTCTGCTCTGGGATCGTTCAAGTATTACGTAAGTAGATTTATTACAATTATTTACCCCCCCAACCCTCTTGTCAGCAAAAGTAAGCAAAGCTCTTACCCCCTACCCCCATGCTTACGTAAACATTTTGCAATTAATGTAAATAAATAAAAATACTACCTATGACGTAATCATCATCCAGACTCCCCTGCCTCCCATGTCAACCCAAAATAAGCAAATCAACAACCCCCCGCCCCCCTATAGTGCTTACCTAATACTTGAACGGCCCCTCTTCGGCAAAGGATAATAAATAAAATAATTAAAAAATAATAATTATTGGCTAGATTTTAAAAAACAATAACAAGGGTCGAGTTTGTTTCAAAATTTCTAAATCAGTTGTTTAATCTTATACCATTTTTTTTTATTTTATCCACTAACATGATATATCATTTGTTCTCTTGAATTGATAATTTTAAAAATGATTAAATAAAATATGATCGAAATAAAAAACTATATTAAATATTAGATAAATTGGGTATTATATCTGTTCCACAAACTTAAAAATAAAATCAAAAGCAAATAGCATGACTAAACACAGCAACAATATACAAACATATATTTAATAAATTCTTCATTTATTATTATTGATACATGATTTTGTTCATATCAAAGAATATGCAGCATAATTTGCTACTCCACATCGATTAACATTTCGACGAAGTTTCATGAAACCATTTTCACCCCAATTACTACCCCACCAATTTTTGAGTATCCAATACTTCTTTGTGTATCCAACTAGCAGCATTGCATGATTTACGTGTTTTGAAGAACATTTTATGTCATCGTAGATACCTTCACTGGAATTATCAAGAATTATTTCCATGTTAAATTAACCCTTAACAAACAAATGCCGCCATATTCGCGACATTGCAAATATGTATTATAAAATAATCGAATGCCGCCATACAAGCATACATTTGCTATTAAATGGCTGGACCGATGTCAAAAATTTAAAAGCCATTTGATGTATCTCGATGAGGACTAGCGTATACCAATTTTGCGCGACGATCAGCCAAGCAATTTCTGTGTAAATAGCAGAAAACTGAATAAAAATTCGTCCACGTTTTAGCCCGCAATTGTGAATCGATTTTGTAAATTCAAAAACCATTAGAAAGATATTAGTTGGGAATCGTGATGATTAGTTTTGGTAAAGATCGATCGACCGGGGCGTTTTCTTGTAATAAAGTGTTAAAAAGATTTTTTTTTTCGAAGTAGTCTTATAGATCATACTAAAATATTACGGCTCTAGGACAAGTCGTTTAATTTTAACAATTAGTATCGTTTTTTTGCCGTTTGTCAAAATTACCTTTCATTGATGTTTCAAAATTTCAAAAACGCCTGAACCGATTTCAAACATTTAAAAGCCTATCGATGTATTTCGATGTGGATTATGCTTTCTCAGTTTTGTGCGACGATCGTCTGAGTTGTTTCTTTATAAATAGCAGAAAAATGAAAAAAATTTCGTCCACGTTTTAGCTCTCAATTCTGAATCGATTTTAAGAAATCAAAAACTGTTCGAAAGATATTGGTTTGAACTTATACTGATTAGTTTTAGGTAAAAATTTTCGTAGTTTTTTTTTTTTTAAATTAACGAAATGTACTTTTCAAGCCTCCTGAACATTTTGACGTACCCTAGAAAAAACTGATGCGCCAAACTGGTCTTTTGTTTGGGTATGTCGGACTCAGTACCGCCTGGGTATAATACCGACTAAAACCTTCGCTTTGCTCTTGCCTCTGGTCTTCACGGAAACCGGCGTTAGGCATTACTTCGTGGGGGAAGGATGATTTTTTTTCTTAAATACCGAAATTGATTTGGATTTTAATTTTAATTTAGGCTTTAGTAATTTTTTTTAAATAAATATATATTATATTTTCAACGTTCGATTACTGGACATATGATTTATTATATATGGGGAAAATACGGGCAAAATGGTATATAGACAAGTGACTGTATAACATGACGAAAGTCATAATCACAATTCTGTCAGAAGTTGAGCACCATTGCCACAGTCTTGTCGCAGTAATTAGTTTCAACGCTTATCGCGCCTTCAAAATTTTATTAACTTCCCGTAGGGTAAGTTATTGTAATCGTCCAAAAATTGCAATTGAAAATTTTTACCTTTCTTCGCGTTTTGAAGGATTCTGAACATTTTGGCATATCTCAGAAAAAATAGATGTGTGTGTGTGTCGGTGCACGGATGAACCGATTTGAATGGTTCATAAAACATTCGATTCCTATTGATAGGGAGATGTGCTGATTAGTTTTTGGCAGAGGCAGATCCAGCCGTTTTGGAGATACGGAGCAAAATATGCAGAAAATAGAAATCGAATTTTTGAGTGATCGGAGCATCGGATTTGAATGATCCAAAAAACATTCAATTCGTATAATGACGGGGAAAAGTATGGTTATTAGTTTTTGGCAGGCCAGCGGTTTCGGAGATACAGAGCTAAATGTGCAAAAAATAGCTGTTTTTGAGAGAACCTAAACGTCCGATTTGAATGATTCAAAGAACTTTCTGCTTGTTTTAACAAAATAAATGTTGTTTAATTTTTTTTTCAATTTTTTTTTTTTTTGTATATCGAAAATAATTCAGATTTTAATTGTAATTATAACTTAAGTTGTAATATACTTCAAACAAATATTTTCAACTTTGCAATTCAGTTTATATAATTCTTATAAATTAGACAATTTATTTATTTATTTGAAAACATTTAATATTCTTCGAACATTTCGTTGCGATCCGGGAAGTTCAGCAATTTGTCTTAAGGCACGATGCCATACACCACATTGACAAATTAACATAGCACTATTGCACAAAAACTATACTTCCTACCTGTAAAGTTGAAACGTTTCCGGGCTTGCATTAATCGACACCGCTATTGGACCAATATTGGCAACAGCGTTCTCGAGCGCATCTTCGTCTCGGCTTGGTAAAATAGCCCATGAAGTGATATTGATCACAGATTTATGCCGGTCGTAATGACATTTATTTTGCTGCAATTGAAACATTTTATTCAAACCAATACTTTTGGATTTTTTTAAATACATACTTCAATACGTACTATACCAATGACAGATACTGTATACGCGGGAAATACTAATGATAAGAATACCGAAGCTGGGACAATGCATTTATTAAGAAAACTATTAATTAGTATTCTGAGAGGTTTGAAATATCATAATAAATAAAATAAGGAATCAAACACTTATAGAGTAATTTGATTTGTCTGATCGGAACAGGAAAGTTAAAATTTGAAGTTGGCATTCCGAAATTAAAATCAAAAGGGAGTTTTGCGTAAAACAGGGCAGTAGTCTTATTATATAACATCTAGAGAAAAGCAAATAAATCGATTTCGAAAGAACTTAATGATATGCTACGTATTTAACAGGTTCGTGAACTTGAACCTTAAGCAAAGCAGACAAAAGCTATTAAGCTCTTAAATGTGGTGAGGTAGACCGTAGAATGCCAAATAATATATATCGATTAAGTTGAAATTATGAATCACTGCATACAAATAATAAATTGTACTGTTTAAGAAAATATGCGATAAATTCAGTCGATCTTTTATTCATTATTAATTAGAATTGTTGCATTTTACCTTAGCATTATAAGGATAATCCTGGTATCTCATTAGTCCGCCCGACCTTTCTATATAACGTAAGGTATTGCGCAGTGACCCACCGCCGCAACCATAGTTGCCCATTCGGGTACTGCAATCTATAATCTGCTGTTCGCTGTAATATGTCTATATGTATTATAATATTTTATGTACCTCTGTAATAATCAGAATAACAAATACTATCGCAGCCAAAAATAGTCTTCGCCTCAATGTTTTGTATCACGTACTATGGTTTTTGTTTTCCCGGTTTTGTTATTCGAATGGCAAAAAGGTAAGAAGGTAACTAAAGTGTGTTGGCAAGTTTTATTAAAAGTTTTTTTTTTATTATTATTATTATTTCAATAGCAATTTGAATACAGTATAAGTCTATGAGTTATTTGGCTTACATTACCCACACATACACACACACTTTCAAACATACATGTAAATTATTGTGATAAATAAATATAGTTGGAGAATCTCTCCAATAAGTGAAATCACCAATACTGTTCAGTGTTTATATGTGCAAATATATGATAGTGCTAAAGGTCGCAAATATTATCATAGGGCAGTTTCTTCTTCAGTCTTCTTGAAATTGGTGACTCAAGAAGCTGAGTGACTATAGAGTTTGAACAATGTTCTAGTTTATGAAAATGTTTGACACTGTTGATTTTTATAACTCTGTTTATAAATTCAATATGAAGACTGATAATCTAAATTCCTAGATTACTAATTTACTACGTGGTAATAAAACCAATATGGACTTATGGCATACAATTGTGCTAATGCACACAGCTGTCTTAATATTTTAGACTGGGCTCGTTGCATTAGCACAATTGTATGCCATAAGTCCATATTGGTTTTATTACCAGGTTGTAAATTAGTATAGTTTATTGTCAATAGATAGAATTGACTTGCGTTGGCGAATTTATTAAGATTGTAAAATAACACATTTAATAATCAGCATTTTCGACATATTTTACTCTTTTGCAATAAAAAAATAAAAATACTGTTTAAGTCAAAATGAAATTGATCGATACGACAGTGCCAAAACTGATTTGCTGAGTTTCATTCCTGGTATTTTGATGTCAAAAGTGCACCAAGTTCAAGAAGTATGGTTGAAGCTGATCAAGACGCGAGAAAGGCATATGAGTTCATGCAAACCGGCGAATAACAATACACGAGATCCGATTGAGTTAAAATTTATCAAACTTAACAGTTCATGACCACTCAAAAGGTCTGGAATTTTCTTCGAAACTCAAAGTATGGTTCTTATAGAAAGAAATGTGTGTAGTCGCACTGGCGTACGCGACTCGCTTCTGAAAAGTCCTGAAAATTATTAGGTTTTGAAGCGAATTGTCACTAGGAATGTCAAATGGGATGTAAAAAATACAATACACGCAATTACCTATGAAACAAACAAGAAGAACCTGCTGAAAACAGGTGCAAAGCTGAAAATTGCCAGAAAAAGGTGATGCAGTATGTTTGGTAAGATTTTAAAGAGTTGTTCATTTTTCAGCTTTTCCAGGATAACATAACGATTATTTCGGATGCCTTATGTCATCAGCTGGATAAACTAAATGATATACTTCAATAGAAAATGTCAGAATCAACAACCTCGCTGGATAAACAAACGAGGTATAGTCCAGCATCAAGACGACGCAAGACCTCACATAAGTTTGGTCAATCGCCAAAAGCTTCTGTAGCTTGAATGGGACCCAATGTTACATTTATCATAATCTCCAGACCTGCCATCACGGGAGCATTATTTGTTCCGGCCAATAAAATAATTTTTAAGCGGTAATACATTTACCTCAAATCAGCATGTCAAAAAGCACTTTGATCAGTTTTTTTGCCAATAACGACCAAAAAAATTATGTTCTCGAAATTATGCTAATACCAGAAATATGACAAACGATGTCCGATCAAAACTCCCAATACATAATTTATTAAAGTAATTGTTTATTGTACGAAAATTACGTGCCAAAATGTCTATAAAAAACGAAGTTACTTTCCGAAAAACCCAATACTAACACGTGTTACCGATAAAAGATGAAATAAAAAAAATCTATTTTGTCTGGAATGCATGGAAAAGTTAGTTCATTTTGTGGTAATAGACATGTTAAAATATTTACTGTGTATTCAGCTGGAGCTAAAGTATGAAAGAGAACTAGCTTATATTTAAAATGTTAAACGTTGTTTTTTTGCTTGTGTCGCCATTCTTCTCGATTGTAAAGTTTTAACGGATAATGTTACCTTAAATATTTTAGATCGCCCGTTTGTTTAAAAATTTGCCCTTGAACGGTATGGACAATGCTGAAGGCGTAGCAAGAACCGCATGTCAATTGATTTATTGGCGGTGTAATAAAACCTCTTTCGCGCCAATCTACCTGTATAGAAAATCAATTATAAATCACTGTTTCTTTAACCTAAACTATTTTTTTGTAACTTCCAAATTTTGCCTTTAAATAGATGAATGCAAAATTAGTAATGATGATTGAAATTACCTCGTCAGGTAAATCAGCATCAAAGCCTCGTGATGAGGTTAATATTTCCTCGTTGTCAGAAAGCTTTCGTCTGTTACTTTTGGTCAGTTTTACCATCAGCTGCTGATATTGCTTGGGAGACTGCAAAAATGTTATGTATTTTTCATCAGACATAGAACATAATCTGGGAGAAGTTTGAAATGATTTTTTTTTCTACACATAAATATTGTAATAATTAATAAAAAAATAAATAATAAACTAGTTGTAAATGGTATTTTGCTCTAAGGCAAGTTTCATGACGTGTGCAAATAATTGACTTAATCAATATTAAATCAATTTATCTTGAGTTGCTGTAAGGTTTCATATTGTGAGACACTATTGCAGATTATTCAATGCTGTAATTGTTTTTATTACAAATTATTTAAAATCAAACACGCGCCTCACACAACTCTAAAAGCGCGGCAGATTAATTCAAATTTTAATATTTAACTTCCCGAAGGAGAAGTTTATGTTTCCATAAAAAAACGGCTGGACAGATTTCAAAAATTTAAAAGCCATTCGATTAGGATTAATGTTTCTCAGTTTTGTGCGACGATTGGCCAAGCCGTTTCGAAAAATTTTTCGTCCACGTTTTAGACCGCAATTCTGAATCGATTTTGAAAATTCAAAAACCGTTTGAAAGATATTGGTTGGGAATCGACCTGATTGAGTTTTGGTAAAGATCGGCCGGGCCAAAAATTTTTTTCGACGATTTTAATGAATTTTTTTTGACAGTAGATACCATAGACTTATTAAAATATTACGGTCCTACGACAAGTCGTTTAATTTTGAAATTTAGTCAAAGTTTGCAAAAATCAGTATCGTTTTTTGGCGTTGGTCAAAATTAGAACTTTCATCGACGTTTGCTTAAAAACGCCTGAACTGATTTCAAAAATTTAAAAGCCATTCAATGTATTTTGATGTGGATTATCTTTTCTCAGTTTTGTGCAGCGATCGGCTGAGCCGTTTCTTTGCAATTTGAAAAAAAAGTTTGCCCACATTTAAGCTCATACTATACCGAATCGATTTTAAAAAATCAATAACTGTTCGAAAGATATAGTAGGGAATGATACTGATTAGTTTTAGGTGGAAATCTACCGAGCCGTTTTCTTGTAATTAATTGTTGAAAAAAATTTTAGGTCAATTTTTATGGAACTTTTTTTGGCTACATATATATCATGGTCTTATAGGACTTACTAAAATATTACGGCCTTACGACAAGTTTGAAAAAATGAGTAGTTTTTTGACGTTGTTAAAATTAAAATTAGTCGATTTACTTAGTATAACGATAGAGTACTTGGTCTTAATGATCACACTAAACTCGTTCGTTTTCAATTATGTGTAACAAATCCACTTCGAGAAGTTAATGATAAAATATAATTGCACAGAAAATCAAATAGTCTACTTTGATAAAGATTTAGCGAGAAAGTATTTGATGAAATCGAATTGAATATTATATTTATTTAATAATATATACAATAAAACGTTGTTATTTACGATTGTCTTACCAAATCAGCCAAACTGTTTTCCTTCAGCTTGTACGTGTGCAGGCCGTCGGTCGCCTCCTGGTTGTGCCGCATGATCATATCATAGTTTGTCGCCCAGGCCAAACGGGATCGCGTCTCCTCATGAGATTTGAAATAAGTTTTATTATGTATTTCCTAATGCAAAGGAATTGAAAAAATTATTGTTTAATACATATGAATTAATTAGTTAATTGGATTATTTGTGACACTTGTTATTCGAAGTTTATGTTACTTTCATATGAAAAATTAATTTTATATTCTCAAATTATGTATGTATTTATTGTAATCGCAGGCGCATATAATTCCATTTTTCAAAATGTTATGATTATAGAAAAAGTTAAATTTGACTATAACCACAACATTTCTTAAATAAATTTTTAAAAGTTATATTCTTCAAAAGCGCAATTTTAGAATTTCATATAATATTTATAAAATGTATAAATATTTCAATTTTTTTAATTAACTATTTTTGAAAGTTTTCATAACAATGAAAATTCAATAAGCAAATGAAACATTTAAAATATATTAATTTATTGCTAATGTTTTATTTAAAGAGACTACTTAAATGCTCTTAATATTTGTTTTATTACTTGCCACACTGATTAAACCAATGAATGAATGATTATTAACAAATATACGAAAAGTTATAATACCTGATCATTCAATAACTTACTTTAAACTTGATCCATTTTTCATTCAAATCTGCATCTTTTGTACTGGTTACACCATTTCCTATTAATATTAACAACACTACATTTAATAACATTTTAACTAACTTATATTATGCATATATTTTATAAATGCATGTAATTCAGAATACTTAACATTTAAATAAGATACAGCAATGGGAATAAAAAAGAATATGATATGAAATGATTCTGCTTACATCAGCACTCAACTAAACTAGAGATGTGTTACATTTCTTAGTATCAGTTCATAATGTATATAATGTATTAGGTTGTCAAATATCTCCCTTCCGCTCTTGGTTTATAATACAAAAAGGCGAAAGGGAGATATTCGACAACATTATATATTGTATATAATGTTAGCCAACCATTAGATAAATATAAACTACTACAACTCAACATAATTGTATTTCTCTCAAACGACATATTTACAATTTAACTACAAACAAATATGTCACATTTTCCTGTTTTATACAAAATGCCATACTGATTAAACCAAGCGCACACTATAATAATATTAACTAATATTATAATGTACTAAAATCATACTAAAATATAATAATAATAATAATCCTGTCCAAGTCCTGTATTCAAGCATAATTCTAATCAGTGTTCCCATCATTACTAATATCCAATTCGCATTTTCCCTTTGTGTCCTTCCAATTGCGTCTTTCATGAAATCTATGGTCTTTTTTCTTTTTCGTTAGATTCTTCAATTTTATTTTCATTTTTTTTTTCATCCAAAGCTATTTATTCTCAGCATATTTGCAACTGATGCACTAGCCTTCAATTTGTTGCTTCCAATGTAATTGAATTCTTCAGTAGTGCAATTTCTCCCGATGTATTTTTTCTTAATGCATTTTCTTCCTAAATATCCTTCATGTTTTGGCAGTAAAACTTCCTCCACTGTTCACACCTCAAGCGCACACTTCTCCTGCGCACCCTCTTTCGGTTTACACACATCCGGTTCAGACTCATCCGGTTCAGACTCATCCGGTTCAGACTCATCCGGTTCAGACTCATCCGGTTCAGACTCATCCGGTTCAGACTCATTCGGTTCATATACCTTCGGTTCATACACCTTCGGTTCATACTTCTTCGGTGCACACTTTTCATGTGCAGTCATTTGTTTTCTGCTGTCCGTTTGCCTGCTTTATTCAAACACTTTTGTTCCAATTTAATATGTTCAATGTTAGCAGCTCCGGCTTCTTGTTCCTTACGGATGAGTTCTTCTGTTACTCTCTGTGAGTGCTTTTATTTCTCTTCGAGTTCCTGCAAGTCATTATTCATTTCCTTGACAGCATCTCTGACTACTTTGCATCTTTCTTCTCCTGCCCGTCATCATTTTCGTCCGCATAAGTTTGTTCTATAACATTATAACCGGATACTGACTCCACTTGCTGACTATTTCTATCTTTAACTGATCTGGTGGACTCATTCACTGGTCTCTTTATCCGCAATTCCATCAAACAATTTTCTCCATTATATAATTGGTGCTCATTCATCTCCAACTTAACACTACTCTTAATCCGACAATTACTAACTTTCATCGTTTGCGCATCATGCTCTTCAGCTCATCGTACGGCAATCTCACGTTATCTGCTGAAGCGTCAAACTAGGCTTTTTCTGGTCCGCTCAAACGTGACATCAACCAACAAGTTAACCTTTCCTTAGGCACTTTATCTTTCTTAGGCATCTTATCTTTCACCAATCGCGTCTATTTCTTCTAACCGGGATTCAACATCTACATTGTCATCCTTATTACCACAAAAGTAAGGAATCTTCGCCAATATATCTCGAATAGTTACCCCGCGTACATTAAAATTTGTCGCCTGCAACATGCTTAGTATACTGTTGCCTTCATTGGTCGTCTTGATCAAATTAATTAAATCTGTAAGTGAAAGCGACACCATGCTTTCATTACTTACTCGATCTATCTCACAAAATCTTCAAGTTTCTCAATAAACTCAAATTTTCACAACGAGTCTTGCAATTATCAATCCGCCTGATTGATAAATACACTCATACCAATTATTGAATCTGCCCCATTTCACATTCTCCTGTTTTATACAAAATGCCTTACTGATTAAACCAAACGCATGGCACATTAGCAGTGGCGTCGGAAGCAAATTTTTCAAGCTTCATCCCACCCAGCCCGCACGGTTCCGACGCCACTGCACATTTTAATAATATTAACTAATATTATAATGTACTAATAATAATAATAATAATAATATACACCCTATTATATATATTTCGCTAACAATAAATACATTTAGCCCTTTATATTTTTTTCTTTAATAGAACGATACATACAATTTTCTTATGATTTCTCAAAATAAGGTTTAGATTTTCTGCAAGAGAGGCAATTATTTTGATGTGTATATTACAAAGTGTGTTAGGTTTTGCAATTATGAGCTAGGTTTGAGTTTTAAGACATAGTTTATACTATTATGAGTTTTATTTTCTATTATGGAGTATATATGTAATACCAACTATTATGAGTATACATGAAATAACAATTTTTTATATGGAATAATAATATCAATGACGATGATTACAGAATATTAAGAATAAATTATAAAGGAATGGATTATGTGCTAAAAGAAAGTAAAGAAAACTAGTGGTGCGTGGCCTTACGAAAAATTGCTTCAACTAAAAATTAAATTTTTGAAAAAGATTTTCAAAAAGAAAGAACTCTAAAAAAATATCGATTTTTGGGATTTTTAAAATATTTTAAAAAATGACCTTTTTAATTTTTATACTTTGAAATATATTGGAAATTTTGAACTTTTTTCAAAACAATCGCAATATGTTAGCTGCGTGGGCGCCACGTTGCAGTAAAACGGTTAAATATTAGGACGGAACTTATAAAAAAGTAAACAAAATTTGTTAATAGTTTTTGTCAATACAAATAAAAGTTTGTTTGAATCATACAATTTGGACGCTCCGTTCTCTCAAAAAATCAATTTTCATTTTTGGCACTTTAAAAACTAATCAGCACGTCTCCTTATCAATACGAATGGAATGTTTTTTGAGTTATTCAAATCGGTTGACTCGTGTTCCCGAAATCGTCGACAAAAATTTGTATCCGCACACACACACAGACATTCATTTTTTTCAAAGTATGCCAAAATGTTCAGAACACCTTAAAACGTGAAGATATGCAAAAAAAATATTTTCGATTTTTTTGCGATTACTATAACTTACTCTACGGGAAGTTAAAAAATAAGACATGTAGAATAGTATTATTATATCAATTTTTTTAATATATAAAATATAAATTGTATAAAATATATAGATATATAAAATATAAATCATACTGCGTTACTTTATTTTTATTATCAGTTGTAACAAAAACTTTAATAAAAAGGATTTTTTTTATATTTCTCTATAAATTCTTTTTGCAGTATTTGACTGTGTGGCTGTTCATTCTTTGCAATAAATATTCAGTGAAACGAAAGAAATTTTTATTGTTTCTCGTAAATTCAATTGTCATACTACTGTCGGATCAGGAAAAAGGATCGTGTGTCGTTAGCCTAATTATAAGACAAACCATAGAGATTGTCGCATCCACGAGTACGTCGTTCCACACGTTTGCGTGCAACCTTACCTCTATTGCCAGTCACTCTTTATATCTATGGTCGTATAGTCTTTGCTTTTATTGTTTCCGGCGCTCTATGAAGTCTCTTTGCGAACAACCACGCATTCTTTCTTAACTTAGCGAGATGGCTGATCAGGTATGTTTAGCAAATTTCATGAAATATTAATGTTAAATGTGTTTATAATATAATATTATAGTTTCCTATTATTTCTGTGAATAAATGTGTTAATATTAGTATCAAGTTTTTCGTGAAATACAAAGATACAGTGTCAAATGAGTTGTCGTTAATTTTGTGGTTATGTTGAGTTAAAGTGTATCAAAATGTTTATGATGATATTCGACGACGGTCTTCAGATTGAAACATGTTGACAAAACGTCTTTCTGATAAATTTTTAATGAACACAAATACAATTGTTTTTGTGAATGCATGCCTAACCACACTTCTTGTCACTGCAGACTGAACGAGCCTTCCAGAAGCAGTTGGGTGTAAACCTCAACCGCAAGATCGGTTTAAAAAAGAAATCCTTACGTCTTCACAGGAATGTAGGATTAGGATTCAAAACACCCCGTGAGGTAATTAATATATTTTGTTTTGCTTTGAGTGATTCAACTGTTGCACACAGAAATGTGTCAATCACACTTTTATTACTAGCTCAATATTGAACCAATTCTTTCAATACATGTTAAAACATGTAATGGTTCCTTTTTTACTTTTGAGCTCTATTTGATTCAATTTGTGTACTCTTCACTGTTCGCATTGAATATTTTATGTGGATCAATGCGAGTTATTATTATACCTATATTTTTATGGTTAAATCATGATTTACTACAGAGAATATGATCAACCTAATTACTTGTATTATATTACTCTTCCTGTAGTTTTCATTTTTGAAAATTTTAGATGAAAAATATACATTGCTATAACTACTTGTTTATTTAATAAATTTTGCATTCAACTTTTAACTGAACTCGTTTAACTTCAGTAATGTATTTCAGGCTATTGAAGGTTCTTACATCGACAAAAAATGCCCATTCACAGGAAATGTATCTATCAGAGGGCGTATTTTGACAGGTGTTGTACAAAAAATGAAAATGCAGCGCACTATTGTCATTCGACGGGATTATCTGCATTATATTAGGAAGTACAACAGATTTGAAAAGAGACATCGCAATATGTCTGTGCACCTTTCACCATGCTTCAGGTAATTATATGTATTTTGTGCTACACATCTCTCACTGATTCTATGCATTTTAATACTGATTTAATTTTGATTTAAAGTTTACAAAATTTCGTTTTTTTAATTTTGATGTATATGAATGAGGTTGTAATCTTTATTTTAAATTAGATTTTTTATTTTATAGCTGTTAAGATTCCTAATTGACATCTAACATTACTATATAAATTCAGTAAAATTTTATTAAATTATAGTAATATTTATCATGATGAGATATAACACGACGGTCTACTGATCGTATAATGACGACCAATGTGTTAACTGATACTGCAGATTATATTTTTATATATTGTATAGTTACTATGTGTATTTTAAAATCCTTTTCTTTGTTTAGGGATGTTGAAATTGGTGATGTTGTGACCATTGGTGAATGCAGACCCCTTTCAAAGACCGTTCGTTTCAATGTTCTCAAAGTGACAAAAGGAACAGGTTCTAAAAAGAGCTTCAAGAAATTTTAGTAATACTTTATTACAATAAACATTTGTTTCTTGTACAACTTGTTTTTTGTATTTACTTATTTATATTAACATGAATTTAACTCCTATTATATAGAAAGATAGATATACCTATAATTTGCTGAATTGATTTAGTTTAAAAAGCTATTGAACAATTTAATGTGCTATATGTACATTAATATTCATGCAATTAATTCAAATTGGTTTTTGCATTTTTATATTTAAACAGTGAGTTTAAATGTTCGCTTTGATTACATATTTTGGGTTATTAAATATAAAATTTAACATTTTTATTTTGAATATTCGATTACAATACATAGCTTTCTTCTTTCAAAAAAAAAAGCAAACTGAAAAATATTACCAGTAAAAATAATTATAAATATTTTCAACACTTCTTTGCTTTAACTATATTCAAATGTGAGTTATTAAATTTTAATGCAATCAAAATTTAAATCAGGCCATGATTATATGCAATTATGTATTTCACAAATCGGTATAACATTACATAATACATTTATCAACTAAAATATCATGACAATTTCATAATCATGCGATATATTTATTGTCTTTATAAATGCTAAATGTTCTTTTAAATTGATAAACTTACTTGCAGGTGTAAAGCTAATACATATGTACATGATATATATCCAAAATTAATGGGTAAAAACTTTCAGCGGAGTACGTTGATCAATCTTGTTCATACATTTATTGTGGTTTTATGATATTTGCATAAAAGTGTTAGTGTAGTTTTTATTCACATAACTTGAATATGGATTAAATATGATTGTGATTTGATTTTGTTCACGGTGTTGTAAGTTCTAAATGTCATTAGTCTTCTTCTTAAGTGATATCATATGCAAATGATGTGTCTCAAATGATTTGTTTCATTTTAAATAGGACAGGGATGTAAAGTATAAATAATATTTTTTTGTTGCAAACTGCACTTGATTGTTAACTGTGAAGTTGCAGTTTGAAACATTCATTCATAGGTAGGTTTGTTTATATTTATTTATCTATGGGCTTTGCAATGAATGGTACCACATTCCAGTTAGGAGTTAAATGATTAAAGTGATAAAAGGATCAAGCAGTTTCAAAAATAGTATTTGAATGTGAGTATAATATTATTTACATTAATAGTTTAGAAATGCATTAATATTTTTATTAATGGATAAAAATGGTGGATAGTTGAAGTTTTTTGTAGAAGGATTGGATTCATGCATTGAATTTGATTGTTGATTACACATTTATAGGTTTTGAAGAATATATCATTGCAAAAATTGATCAAGAAATATCATATTTTGTTAAAACTTTTTAATAAAATTGATAAAATGAACACTTTATTGTTTGATACATGAAAATACTTTTCTTTCCTCTTCTTCTTCGCTGAAACTATATATGATTTCTGCCGATTTTTCTTTATCCACCAAGTACTTGTTCTGTACTAGCAGAAATGTATAATATAACTTTGAAATAAACAGTGTTTATTGTTGAAATCAAAGTTAAAATAACTGAAATCTTTGTTTTTTTTTCAATTTGTTACTGAATTGATCCAATTTACTATAGACTGTTTATACCATAGACTATTCTTAACAGAATTGCAAAATATTTTAGATTGATTTCTTCAAAAAATTGTTTTACTGTCGTATTACAATGTTTGAAGCTGTGTCACCATGCAGAAAAATTGTGTGGAATTTAAATCAAATGATACTAATTCGAGCTGGATTCTCATCTAAGAAATATGTAAGTTCATATTTATAACTTATTATTGATTTTCTGTTGGAATAGAATTGATTTGCTTAAAATTGGAACTGTAGTTTTTAATATACATTTGAAATTATCTCAAAATGGGCGGCTTCAGCGTTGGTCATATTGTTTTAGAATAATATTATTTATTGTATAATGATCGTTTTATCTAAATCAAAATAACAGTAATATTTTATCGATGCGTGCTTTATCTTTGTTACATTATACCTAATGCTATTGCAGTATGATAGGTAGTAGTGTCGAATATATTTTGGGGTCGCAAAGAGTGAGAAAAAACATGTTGGGAATAATTTAAGGGATTATGCATACAATAACGACTTTTTTATTTTTTTAAAAAAAATTTCTTGTTAATTGCTGTTTTAGTGTATTATTGCAAAAATAACTGTATACCTATGTATATAATGTTCATCTGTATGTGTATTACAATACATTATAGTGTGTGTAATATTTTGTGTCATGAGTGGATCGAATTTTAATTATGAACACATTGCATTCACGTTTTGGATTATAACTGTGTCATCTTCAGTGGAACTACAATTTGAACAAACGATAGAACAAGAAATGGCTATAATATATTGCTAATAAAATACAAGTAGTAATAAGACAAATAGAAATATATGGTAATCCATATATTGTTACAGACTTACATTTAACAAAGAGTAGGGGAAGTATGTACAAAATGACATAGTGTTTTGTATTTTAATTATATTTATTTATTTAATGATATCAGCAATTTTTTTACTTATTTTAGATTCATTGACTACCAGTAACACATACTTTTAATTCAGCAGGAACTATAGTAATATATACTAATATATTACTATAATAATAATTACAAGAACTATTTTGTACATATAGTGAGCACAAAATGACATATAAGGCAAAGACTGGCTGAGATGCTTATTTTTAAGAAAACAGTTTATAAATAATTGTTTGGTCCTCTTCAGGACATCAGTTCATGACGCATGAGCTCAAAGGGAACAAATCATACATCCTCTAACCAACCTTTGCTTGGTTCAGAATAGGAAAAGAGGGTTTTGAAATAAATGCAAGTATCTTTTTTGCTGGTGGATTCTATGGTGTGTATTTAGAAGTTGTTAAAACAGAAATTAGAAGCCAATCAAATTGGATAGGTTTCAATTTTTTTCTCTTGCCTCGCATGAACTACACTGTAGTTTTTGCAAAATAGTTCTATGTTATTTTATTCATTGTTTAAGTATGTCATTTGGACCGAAAGTGAACAAAAATGAATAAATTGTCAAAATTTCATCAAACACTTGATAATTGAATGACTCAATTCACATTTGAACTTATTACTGTGACAATGACGTTCAACTTTTGATTGGATTGTGATTACGACTTTCTTGTCATTTTTGTGCCTATTACACATGAAATCAAGTATGATATTTATTAAAGGTCTTGAAAATCGTTTTATTATAGCTTTTTCTTTTTTTATCATAGTTCTACTAGAGATGACATAAAATAATGTGTTAAAACGAATGGCATATGTATATATAAATGTATATATATATATATATATATATATATATATATATATATAATTAAAGACAGTTACATCAAAGAAATAAAAAAATATTAATTTATATATACTACATATATGTAAATATATAATGTGTGTGCGTGTGTGTGTGTATAGACCTAGTATAAACATTATTATGTCACCCAAATTGGAATCCGTATGTTTAAAATTGAAGGCTTTTTTAGCCGACTATTGGAATAAAAATGTGTTTGAAAATTTAAATATATGTTTAAACAAAAGTTTAAATATATGTGTATTAACATGTTTCGAGTCCAAAAGGTTTCAGGCATTAATATTTGATATGTGAATTTTTTTTATAAATAGCGATGATATTCAATTATTTATTCGTTTGAAATGATTAAGCCAGGATTGCATGATAACTTTTTTTTGTAGATTTTTTTTATGTTAAAATTGTTGCGGTATATGCTATGAATTTTTACACCAAATATTAGACGATCAGCCTATATAAGTATTATTAGTTTTTGTCTAATTAAACCTGTAGTCATTCTTTATATGTAATTACTTTTTATGCAGCATTACAATTAATAAATATTTACGTATCATAGAACATTGAAGGTGCCCAGAAAAATTTATATGTGTATACAGAACCGGCGCTACCCTGAATGCAATGCAATATATAATACATTACCATATTTCTTTTTAATCTATAATATATAGAATACTTGAAAAATAGTAATTTAAAAAAAACACTTTTTCATATAATTTTTTTGACAAACTGTAAAAATTGTTTAAAGAAATAGCGGAGGAAGTAAGCCGCTAGGGATAAATGCCATGCAGGTGCTGAAGACTCAGCACCCATTTACCTATACCTATACATACGGTGTAAATCTGTATGTATGTCGATATTGTGAGGAAAATTATATAAATTTATGACGCAATTATTATATTTAGTAAATTAGTATTTACTTCAAATTGTCGCGACATCGTCAGATCAAAAATATTACAAATTAATAATTGCAAATTTGGAAGATTTCCATCGTCTAGAACTGTGCAAATCGAAAATTGTCTTTTATTGCGCTTGATTGTTGTATAATTCGAAATACGACAATACGACAAACTGAATATAAAATTTCAGTTATTGAAGAAAAAGTTTAAATGATTATTGTTATTGATTATTTAAATGTTATTAAAGTTGTTTATTGGGTTCTCGTTTGTTGATGAATTTTGTTTCTATAATAGTTGATTTAAATCTGTAATCGCAATAACGTATCGTCTGGCCATAATCTTAATAATGGATATTTATTAACCCGCAATCTTATATATATATATATATATATATATATATATATATATATATATATATATACGGATATGAGATTTATATTTGGGTGGAAATGAAGTTTAGGCCACTGGAGGCAATAGTAATATTTAATCATTTTTAAGTATAACATTTAATATACTTTACTTTCAGCACTTGGACTTCGAAGCTTTGCTTTAAATATTTATTTTTGCATATGATATGATTAATGATCAGAGTTCGCCGTATGTAAGAATAATAATAACATCGACAATCTTAATTACTCATATAGCATAAATCTTATGAGAAGTCAAAATATATTTTATTCAAATTTGAGATTAGAATAGATTCGTGTATTTCACAAAACCATTATTTTTGTTTGCTTAATGATTACTATTACATAACATTTTATGATATTTTCATACATCATTTTAAAAATTGAATACGTAATAATTAACAGTAACTGCAATATGTTGAACTTCAAGAATTGCATATACACTATAGTTGAGTTGCATTACAGTCTAATTATGAATAAGAATGAATTGAATTAATTAATGAATTGCAATTGATCAATAGAAGCTCAACCCGATGGTCCCCTATATACATACGTAAATAAACTTGTATATACGCACAAGTATATATTTATACATGTATACATGTATTCAATAAATATACACATGTTTGCATGATCTGCAAATATGTATCCACATACATAAATATACATTTACGTGTGCACATGCATGTTTATGCTACATAATTTAAGGTGCAGTACTACCTCGCATAACGTTCTTAATTCATTACGAGAGAAAGTTCGTTATGCGAACGCGTTTCCCCATACGTGAAAATAAAATTAATTCGTTTTGCGTTTTGAAATATGGCCATAGAAAATTAAATATATTATTCGTGTAATTAAGACATTTAAAATAAAAATAATTTGAACTTATTTATGAAATAAGTTCTTGCCATTCGAGCTCCTGAATTTTTAAAGAAATTGTCATTAGTTAGTTGCCCGTTCAATGGAAGTCCAATGAGAACGCCTTGGAATGTAAGGCATTCCAAGATAAAATCACGGAAATTTTTGCTCTCGCTATGAAAACATAGGGAAAATATGTTTTGAAACAAATTCAAGTCTATTTTTGTGGACCGGTGGATTTTATGGTCTGTTTTTTAAAAGTATGTTGTTAGAGTAAAAGTTGAAAGCCGATCACCTTCTACAGGTCTTTTTCTTTTGCCTCGAACGGACTACCCTGTAGTTCTTACGATATAGTACTATGCCATTTTGTCTATTGTATAAATATATCACTTTGTTCGAATGTGAACAAAAATGAATAAACAATCAAAATCAATCTAACTCCTGATAATTGCAATAGAATTGATCGAAATCACTATAGTCATATATGTCAATCACTAGCATAAGTTTATTGATTTCAGTAGAAATAATTATAAATAACGATAAATAAGTTTTTGATACTTATACAAAACCATCCTCAAAATGAACTTTTGAAGGCGAGATGCACGTTTGAACTGATTACTGCAACAAGAGCGCGACAATGACGGTCAACATCTGACATTATTGTGAAACGGCTTTTTTGTATTATACAGTAGCAGAAACTTCTGTTTTAATTTGTCCAAATATACCATTTTGTCCGTATTTTCTCTACTTGGTGGAGAAAAAAATCACGCTTAAATTAATATTGGATAATGCACATTTTCATTGCATTAACTTCAATGTTTTTGGAAGAGGATTATCAAAAACGAGGATGAAAAGGCCAATCAGCTTAGCGGTCTAGCGCCGCCATGAAAAGACTTGCTAGTGAAACGGAAAAAGTGCGAGCATTAACAAAAGTTCACTTTTCAAACATGGATGAAGCTAATAGGATAAACAATTTGTACACTTTCGGCAGGTCTTCGAAATAAACAACTATCGCAAATTTTTTAGGTTTTGAGTAGATCAAAGGGTAAAGAAGAGAGCCAGAATCAGTCTTTTGAATATAACTGATAATGGTAAAACTTACTTATTTCGTAAATAAGTAATAAATCTTCTTACATGTGAAATATATTTTATAACAGATATCCAAATTTCATACTGCAAAAAGAATTAATTTTATTAGTACGTAGTAGAAGTGTGCTGTAGTAGAATGTAGTACTTTGAACAACGTGTTTTGCATAACGAACTCGCTTCCGTATCGATTAGATACGTTATGTGAAGCATTACTGTATACGGGTGTATACGTATTTATTTGCATATACGTGTTTACGAACATATGTATATATGTATATACAAGTATATATATATTTGTATTTATATATAGGACTATATGTACATGTGTGTGTAGATATGTGAATGTATGAATATGTAATTATGCATTTGTATAGCTATATATATATATATATATATATATGTATATATATATATATAATTTTATTTCGGGCACAATACCAAGTAAAATTACTAAAGCAGGTAATAATAATAAGCTTACTGTATCTTCATCGAAATTCATGTAGTGGAATACAAATAAAATTAATTCCGCGAAATGCATGAGCACTACAACAGTATTACATTTCTAGCTATAACAATGCTGTTAATATTGAAACTACTATAGCCTTTTATTCAAAAGAAAATTATTTGGAACCAATCAGTTTAACTGTGTTTGGTTTTAAATGTTAGTAAAGTTTTTCTTTTGTAGCCTCTTAACAACTTCATGGCTACTTGCTATTACATACACCACTAGTTTTACTTAGTGTTATGTCCGAACTAACCATGTGTATATATATATACGATATATATAATATATATATATATATATATATATATATATATATATATTACCATAGCTAATTTTTTGTTCGTCGTTGAAAATATTTTTGAAATATTAGCAGTCAATAAGACAAAAATAAGATAATAAAAGATATTTATTCTGTACGTTTCGATATTATCTAGCAAGTCACCAAATTAAATTGCGATTTTACTTCCATAATTTTTCAATATTAAGGTCCTCAAAAACCGGTTGTAAAAATCGTTTTTTCCCAAAAAATATGAAATTCGAAAACCGGTTTTTTTATCAGAAAAAATCCGGGTTTAATGTACGAATGGGAAGTGACAAACCATATCAGTTTGATATGATTTGGAATCATATTTTTAATTAAATTTAAAAATTAAATTTTATGGAGTTAAATCTCCATATCGGTCTGTTATGGAGATTTCCTAATATCAGTTGAAAACTATGGT